AGCGGCTATAATCATCAACGATGATTAAAATAATACTTATAACTATCAAGAGAAGTAATGGACAGAGGTCTTCATATGTCAATGTGAATAAATTCAAAAAAATGATTGGATTTAGTTATGCTAGCAATGTATGATAAACACTTTTATTTGGCATAAGCACAAGCGTCACAAGCAGTAATATAAGATGAATTGATTTCAGAATATTGAGAAGTAAGAAGTTGTAAAATTTTATTTGAAGAATGGACAAGTTTCATGTGCCACAAAGTACAGGAATAAGTATGATTATTAAAAACAAAACAAGATGAAAATTTTGTTAAATCTGATATATTCATAATGCAACTATTACTGAGATAAAAAAGACCATGATATAGTTCTCTAATCATATGTAAGGTGTTTGCAAAATTGAGCATTGTTTTTTATGAAAAATAACAAGATAATCCATGGAAGTAATGAGTTTAGGGATAGAAAACAAAGAAACAGTAAAATCAGGAATATATAGTGAATCTTGAAGAACAATACCATCAAAAATTATAGTTTCTGAAAGACAAGCGGTGACAGATTGGTTATTGGGTAAACTTATGAATATAGGGGAAATAGTTTTTAGATTTTGAAAGGACAAATGTGATATGTGGCTCCACTATCTAGAATCCAAGAGAAGGAGGTTAAAGAATGACCTGAATTTTTCGTACATTGATGAATAACAGTGGTATTGAAAGGTGCCTATTGTGAGGGTTGAATTAAGGCAAGAAGAGTTGTAATTTACTCCTTAGAAAAACCAAGTTGGACATTATTGTACTCATTTACCATGGTAGAAGAATCCATAACAGTAGTGAGAACAAAATTAGCCACGCTAGGAGAGGATTTAGGAAGATTGGATTTGTTCTTGTTGAGATTATGACCTTGTGGTAGACCATGTTTGATCCAACAATTTTTTGAAGTATGATTAGTGCCCTAACAATAATCACAATACTTGGTATTGCGACCACCATTCTTGTTGGATCTTCCTCGACCACGAAAATCTGAAGAACCAACACAAAAAACTTTGTTAAAAATATCTTGAAAACTGATGTTGGCAATCGAATCTTGAGAGGCAAAGATTGATGGTTCGAATTCAAGTTCTTGTTGAAGAATTAGAGAAAAAACCTTAATTAAGGAGGCATGGGCTCTATAAGCATGATTTGAGATTTGACTTGTGAGAATTCTTCATTGAGACCTCGGAGTAATTTGATAACACAATTATCATCACACTCCTTTTGAATCTTAATGATGAGACACATGTGCACGGAGAAGCACAAGAGCAAACAAGAACCATTTTGTATAAAAATATTTCTTTCTAGAGTATTTGAAGTCTAATATGGTACTATGAAACATTAGAGTCACCTTGTCTGCAGTTATGGAGATCTTCTTCATGATCTACTGTACGAAATTTGTCTCCATGAGAAATATATTGATATAGATTGTTCCAAATGTCAACAATAGAATTCATCCACATAATGGATTGTTTGATGTTAGGAGATATAGAATGTGTGAGACAAACAATCACCATCTTGGTGCAACGCTTCCACACGTCATGCAACAACAGATCAGTGGGTGGTGGACAAAGAATAGTACCAAGAACAAATCTTTGTTCATTCTTGGTTTCAAGAACAATGAACATGTCTGATGTGAACATGACCTATGACAAGGGCTAGAGCAAGGAAAGCAAATGAAGCTCTTCAACAAGTATTGTTGGTTGACCAAATTATGTTTTAAATTAATCAATTAATGGGTTTTAGTTTGATTTTGTTTTAAGTTGTAATAAGGGCCCAATTGAAAATTTAGTCATCAACCTTTGGGAGACCAAGGGGTGCATAGCTGATTGACTTTTGGTTGCCACAGTTTCAGATACAATCAGTCATTAAGTAGTTTTAATTCCTAGGTTAATGAATCATCATTAGCCTTTATTTGTTTCCATTAAATAGTTTTCAATTTCTAAATTAATGGGTTATTATTAGTATTTATTTTCTTTTATTGAGTCTTTGTAATTCTGATGACAACGCTTCTATATCAGCTGAACCATTTTTATCAAGAAATAATAAGTAGAATTTTATTCAGAAATATTAGAGTTTATCTTTTTTATCTTAGTGAGAGTGATTCTCCTAAATTCTTGAGTGATTCAAGAACCATTGGTTGTATCAAAGGACTTTCACATCCTTTGTGTGTTGCCTCCCTTGGGAAGAGTGATTCTTTCCTTCCACTTTCTTTTTAATTCCTAAATTTCTTACAAGGTTCTAACCCTAAAGATCTTAAATTACCCCTTGTGATTTATATCATTTGGTATTCAGAGCCTCGATTTAAGGGTTTGAACATCAAATTGATGGCAGAAGAGGAAAATTACAATCAAGAAGCAGGAATTAGTCAATTTCAAATGAGAGCATTGGTACAACATTTGGAAGGATTAATGATACGACATAATAATGAGCTTTATGAACGATTAAACCGATTGGAGAATAGAAATCCTGAAGACGAAGAAGAAAGGAGAAATAGGAGAAGGAATGATGGAGTAGTAAGACCAAGTAGGCTTGAAGGAGTCAAGCTTAGCATTCCTCTATTCAAAGGAAAAAGTGATCCGAAGGCATACTTAGACTGGGAGATGTGAAGTGTTTCAAGTGTTAAGGCCTAAGATACTATGCTTATGAGTACCCTAACACAAAGATCATGGTTCTTAGAGAGGGAGAATATATAAGTGAATCTGAGGTTGAAGAGGGAGAAAATAGTGAAGACATTGAGGAGGAGGAGATTCTAAAGGGAGATTTATTGATGATTAGGCGATTACTTGATAGTCAATTGAAACCTATGGAAGAAAGTCAAAGAAAAAATATTTTTCACACTAGATGTTTAATCAATGACAAGGTGTGCATGATGATCATACATGGAGGTAGTTGCACTAATGTGGCTAGTGCTAGATTAGTATCAAAGCTAAATTTAGCTACCAAACCACATCCTAGGCCATATAAACTTTAATGGCTTAGTAAGGATGGAGAGGTGCAAGTGGGACAACAAGTTGAAGTGAATATTTCCATTGGAAAATACAATGATAAGGTGTTTTGTGATATTGTTCCTATGGAAGTCAGCCACTTACTTTTGGGGAGACCATGACAATTTGATAAAAGAGTTAATCATAACGAGTTCACCAACAAGATCTCTTTCATGTACCAAGACAAGAAGATTGTGTTCAAACCTTTAAGTCCACAAGAAGTGTGTGAGGATAAAAAGAAAATGAGAGAAAAAATTCTTCAAGAAAAGAGAGAGAAAGAAAGCGCTAGTGAAATACTTGAGAGAAAAAAAAGTGATCAAAAGAAGAGTGAAACACTTGAAATAAGGGAGAACTATTTAGCCATAAAAAGTGAGTATAATGTTAATTTTACATTCAATTTGTCAGACTTATCTCTTTTTTTATATAGATCACGAATTCGATTTGAGGACAAATCTTTCTCAAGAGGGAGAGAATGATGTGAACATGACCTATGACAAGGGCTAGAGCAAGGGAAACAAATGAAGTTCTTCAACAAGTATTGTTGGTTGACCAAATTATGTTTTTAATTAATGGGCTTTAGTTTGATTTTGTTTTAAGTTGTAATATGAGCCCAATTGAAAATTTAGTCATCAGCCTTTGGGAGACCAAAGGGTGCATAACTAATTGACTTTTAGTTGTCACAGTTTCAGATACAATCAGTAATTAAGTAGTTTCAATTCCTAGGTTAATGAATCATTATTAGCCTTTATTTGTTTCCATTAAATAGTTTTCAATTCCTAGATTAATGGGTTATTATTAGTATTTATTTTCTTTTATTGAGTCTTTGTAATTCTGATGACAACACTTTTATATCAGCTGAATCATTTTTATCAAGAAATAACAAGTGAAATTTTATTCAGAAATATTAGAGTTTATCTCTTTTATCTTAGTGAGAGTGATTCTCCTAAATTCTTGAGTGATTCAAGAATTCTTGACTGTATTAAAGGACTTTCACATCTTTTGTGTGTTGCCTCCATTAGGAAGAGTGATTCTTTCCTTCCACCTTTTTTCTAATTCTAAATTTTTTTACAAGGATCTAACCCTAAAAATCCTAAATTATCTTTGTCATTCGTATCAATGTATTTTTTTTTTTTCCTTGTTAGTAATTATTATCATCTACGGATTGAGAAAGAAGAAGAAAAATGGGATTCCGATGCAGGAGTGACCGTAAAAATAGCGGAAGAATTATTGAAATTAATATCATATGAGTTAAACCAACCACCACAAATAAAGAAAGCTTAGAATATAAAGAAATATTCAAGCAAACATACCGTTAACCATTCTAATAACATATTTTCTTACGTTTTAAAAAAAAAAAAAGATAATGTGAACTGATAAAGTTAAAAGTGTCCTAAATTAGTTATGGAAAATGATAGATTGATAAATTTTTTTATCCATATATACCAACAACTCCATTTACTAATATAATAATAATAATCCTTTGTTTTTTTCTATCTAAATCATATTATAAATATTATATTAATATGAACATTGGGCTATATATTTAGAGCGATAATATTTTGATATCCACTTAAAAAAATATATCTAATAGACAAACTATTTATTAATATTAAATATATAAAATCATTAAATTAAAATAAAATTAATTACAAATTATTATTTTATTAATAAATCAAATTGTTAATGGATTGTATGAAAAAACAGCGTTGTGAATAAATCAGTTTCCATATATTTATAGATGGTTATGGCAGGCACCCATTACTTATTTCCAGCCCTAATCCCGACAAGGTGTTAGCGAAGCAGATTTGGTGTATCCTGATCTCGTCACCAACGATCTTAAATTTGTTTTAATTATTCATGTTAGATTATATTAACTGTCGTGGTGTGGGCCATGTAAACTTTTCCTTAAATATCAATTACATACTCAACTCAATCACTCATAACCACTCACAACATTATTCTAACCTTCACTCTTCTTCCTCCAATGGCTTTTTCTCACAACTTGGAGGTGGAATCCTCATCTCCCCCTCTCGTGTTCCCGGTGCGGAGGAGCGAACCGGAGCTGGTGGCTCCGGCCAAGCCCACTCCCCGCGAAATCAAACTCCTATCAGACATAGACACCCAAGCAGGCCTCCGGGCCCAAATTCCAATCATACAGTTCTACCGTAACGACCCATCAATGGCAGAGAAGGACCCGGTTGCAGCCATTAGACACGCTCTCGCTGAAACCCTAGTTTTCTACTACCCATTCGCTGGGAGGATTAAGGATGGTTCTGATGGGAGCCTGGTGGTAGATTGTAACGAGGAGGGTGTGTTGTTCATCGAGGCCGACGCTGATGTCACTCTCGACCAATTCGGCGACGCTCTTAAACCCCCGTTCCCGTGCTTCCAGGAACTCCTTTACCAGCCTCCTGGTTCGGAAGCGGTCACTCATACACCCATTTTTATTATACAGGTCCAACCTAAACTAATAGTTTATAAATATATACGTCTTCTTCGTTTTTCAACTAAGATTCTATTTTAGAAAAATCATTCTTTAAAAACACGTTTTAAATAACACAAGTTATTTCTATTATCATTATATTAATAAAAGATTATTAATTTTTTTTATATTGGATTATTTATATATCAATATTTTTTTTTCATTCTCCACGTACACTATTTTACAAGAGTTGTTATGTTATGACATGGACTGTGACGTACTCATGGTCCTAATGAAATGATTTTATTTTAATTTAGCAATAACTAATGATATTTTAGTAATCATCATTTTATGTATAATAATTTAATAATAATAATAATAAACTTGTATATTATAAGTTTGTTAAGTCATTAGTATGCATAATAGGTTGTTAAAACTTGGTTTGTTTAAAATGGATTTCAGGGTGTAAAAAAATGAAGAAAGAGAATGAAAAATATGATTGTTGGATAGAATTAATCGGTTACTTTATAGATGGAGACTATACTCAATAATATCTGTTAGGATTTTTTGATAATAATTTATAAATAAATTATATTTATATATAAATAAATGTATATTTATGTAAATATATAAATATAAATATATTTATATATTTTGAAATATTTATATAATTATATATTTATATGTTGAACATGAGGGTGAAAGTGTGTGTGAGTGGATTTTCAAAACTTGATACCAAATTTAATCTAATTATGATTATTAATAGAACAATTTTTTTCCTAACATAGATTATTATAAATTAATTAAATTCATCTTTTAATAATTATTTTTTTAGACATAGATTAATTTATAATAATTTGTTAAATAAAATAATTTTAAAAATAAATTTTTTATTATTTTTAATATTGAAAAAATTATTTTAATATAATAATTTCAATTAAATAATAGAAAAAAAGAAGATAAAAATAATAAAATAAAAATAAATAAAGAAAAAAATTATTTTATATCATTATATAAATAAATTATAAAGATTATATTATGTCGTTAAATTACATACTCATATAAAGAGACTCACTCATAAATTTGACATCAAATTTTGAAAACTCACTCGACACACAATTTCACCCTCGAACGCGCCCTCAAATCTAACATATATAAATATGTAAATATATAACTATATAAATATATCAAAATATATAAATATAAAAATATATTTATATATTTTATATTTATATATTTACATGGATATATATTTATTTGTATATAAATATAATTTATTTATAAATTATTATTAGAAAATCTTAGTAGTTTAGTAGTTGGAGTAACTGACCTTTAACATTAATGTAATGAGTTCGAATTTTGTCAATAACAATTATCTTAATTTGCTATTATTTCAATTTTTAACGTCGATTGGTTTAAAGCTGACGTTAAATGTATCAAAATTCAATTTTCAACGTCGTTTTTTAACCAACCGACGTTAAAAGTATATTTAATGTTAGCTCAGCTTTAATCGATGTTAAATGACGATATGAAAAACATATTTTGGTAGTAGTGATAAATGATGAAAAAACATAGAAAAATTATATAAAATAGCATTAATTTGATTAGTTTTTAGTTTAGATAAATTTTCATATCCAAGAAAAGAGAAAATAATTTTTGAAAAACGTAATTACTGTTTAACTAAATACAAGGTACTGTATGTATGTTTTTCAGTAGTTTTGTTATTTAGTAAGTTTATTATATTGTTGATTTTTTATTAGGTGACTGTGTAGGACAAATTTATGTAAAAGGACATTGAGAAAATTTTCTCAAATTAAAAAAATATATTTTTATTATATATAGAATAGGGGAGTTTTTATTTTGATAATTGCAAAAAAAAATGTTTTTGTTTCTTTATCTTTCTAAATTTTCAATCGTTATTTTTAGTAAATTTTTTATCATTGTATTAAATTCTTAAAAATTTGAAATAATTATTGTAGGATTCTTAAAAATGTTTTAGTTATTAAAAATTATATTTTTTTATGTTATAGATGACAATAAAACATTATTACAATTTTAGAAGGAAGAAAATCAATTCTTTTCCATATGCCAAGATTAAAATTTACTTAGGCACCTACTAACTTTTTTTATATTGTGACACCTAATAACATATTGATTACCTATGGCATAATAATAACTTTTTCATTACCTATTAGTTAAGAAAAAATAATATCTATATAATATATAATAGAAAATACTACAAAATAGTTTTTCGAGTAATAACATGTCCTTTTTATCAGAAATTAAAATTATTTTGTTTTAATTTTTTCTTTAATATTTTTTTAAGAGATATTATCTATTTTGATTTGAGATCACAAAACTGTGTATTATTTTTATTTAATCATTTTTATTTATTTTATACATTTTAATGAATTTTAAAAAAAATATAAAAGTAGATTTTAGAAATTATTCGAGTGTGTAAAGATATTAGTTCAAAGTACAACTAATGTTATCTTACATGATTTTAAGTTGAATGATACAACAGGTGACGCGTTTGAGGTGCGGTGGTTTCATCTTCGCGCTTCGTTTCAACCACACCATAATCGACGGAGTTGGCCTCATTCATTTCACAATTACCATGGCAGGGATAGCTCGGGGAGTCTTGCAAGAACCTCCATTCAAACCCGTGTGGTGCAGGGACCTTCTCAACGCCAGGGACCCTCCACGTGTCACATTCAACCATCGCGAGTACGAACAACTCACTGACTCCAACGACGCCGTGCCACCCGACTTCGATCAGCGCTCCTTCTTCTTCGGCCCCGCCGAAACCGCTGCCATCCGCGACCTCCTCCCCCGCGACCTCGGCCAGCAGGCCACAACCTTCGAGGTGCTGACGTCATACATCTGGCGCTGCCGCACGAGAGCACTTCAGATCGATCCGAAGGAGGACGTCAGAATGATGTGTATCGTCGACGCGCGCGACAAGTTCGAGCCTTCACTCCCAGAGGGGTACTACGGCAGCTGCTTCGCGTTCCCGGCGGCTGTGGCCGCGGCAGGAAAGCTTTGCTCGGAGCCGCTGGAGTACGCGGTGAGGCTGATACGGAAGGCGAGGGGCGAGGTGAGCGAGGAGTATATTCACTCGGTGCCGGATCTGATGGTGAGTTCGGGAAGGCCTTTGTTTACTGTGGTGAGGTCATGTTTGGTGTTGGATACGACGCAGGCTGGGTTTAGGGATTTGGATTTCGGGTGGGGGAAGGCGCTGGAGGAATGGCTATTGCTGGCGCCGGGGCGTTTCCTGCAGTGAACTTTCATGTGCCGAGTCAAAACGCGAAGGGAGAGGAAGGGATTCTGGTTTTGGTTTGCTTGCCTTCACCAGTTATGAAAGCCTTTGCCAAAGAGTTGGACGACAATTTGGTTGAGACCAACAAAACTGTTTAGTTAATGTGTGCTTCACACACACAGACGCTGGAGTGTTGAGTTTGGTGTCACTGTTCATTGTCCTATGTACATAAGAATGAAGTCATCCAGAGAGAGAGAGAGAGAGAGGTTAATTATCCAGATAAGCCTTGGATTGGAGTATTATGCCTGTTCTGTAAGAAATAAATTTGAGTGTAATCTATGTATCTTGTTCTTGCATAAGTTGCTCTTTAATATAGGGTTATCTGGTGCTTAGTTAGTGGTTTGGTTTGATTTTTTTCTTCTAATAATTGTTAGAATCAATTCTTCCAATAATTGTTAGAATCAAACATATTTAATTTGATTTTAATTTAATATAAAATTCCAATCATCCATCTCAAACCAATATTTATGATTTGATTTTATCAAATTTTTATTTTTGGTTTTATAAATTATTACATATTTTATAATGATTTTTTTTAAATAAACATATTACATAATTTTTTAATATATAATTGTTATTATATTCAATTTTTATAATTTTAAATTATTATAATATATTTAATGATTATAAATAGAATATAATATGATTATAAAATTACCTTTTAGAGATTTAATTATAAATATTATATTTAAATATAATAAGTTGTTTTGTTTAATTTTAATTTTTCAAAATCGAAATCAAATTGCTTAATTTAAAAAAAATTCAAAAAATTCAAAATAAAATCCCTATTTATATTAGCACTTTTACAAAGAAAGAAAATATTTTTTTCTCTAAATCCATAATATATCATTATTATAATATATATATATATATATATAAATATACCTAATTGATAATTATTTTTAATACATATTAATAAAAATAGTTATTATAAACATTTTATATTCAGCGGTCATGTTTTTATTAATTAGAAAAGAAAGTGATAAAGATAATTATTAATATTTTATATTTAAAAAATATGATAAATATATATATATATATATATATATATATTAAATTTTATCTATTTATTTATTATTTTATGAATCAATTGCATCAATTTATATATTTTTTCTTAAATAATATAATTGGAGTATACAATGGTAGATATAACCATAAAATATTAATAATAAAATATTAATATGTTTGAATTTTTTTTCATATAGTAATATAAGAAATCATTTTAACTGTGATCATGAAATATCTTTAAAACATTATATATATATATATATATATATATATATATATGGCAGATTTTCTTGAGAGTTAAGAGGTACCAAAATTTTGTAATTCTATTAATTTATAATTTTGGTCTTCCAAACATAATGAATATTTAATATATTTATTTGTATATTTACAATTTTATCCTCTTCAGTTTTATAACTCTAATGTAATTTATGATTTTGTTCCCTCAAACTTAATGATCTTCCCACCATAATTAATAATTGACTTTTATATCTTATTTTTGAATGATAACCATCAACCCCTGTGAAAGGTCTCGGGCGAACAAGAAAACTCCTCTTGCAGCATTTAAAATACATATGAAATGATCGAAATCTTATTGGATATTGGTTGAAGGCTCACAAGCACGGGTGGAGCTAGGAAATGAGTGGAGTCATTATCCTCAAAAAAATCTTGAAACATACCATTTATGATTTTTTTTCTTAAATGATTATTATAAAAATTTTATAATTTATATTAATATTTATGATTTATTAAATATATTTATTTATATATTTATGAATTTAATTATTTATATTTTATATTTTTTATATTAGTTTATTATTTATTAATAATATATTATTTTATTTCCTCAAATTAACAATAAAGGTCCGTCGTTTACAAGTAGTATCTGTATTTTATATATTATTTTTTAATTTAATCAACTCATGTCAAATTATAAACAGTAGTTTCTTCGTATATCATCAATAACTTCAAAAACATACATTCTTTTCGAAGATCTAAAAATGTCCTCCACCATTTTAGCAATTTATTTTCATCATGCATTTTATTTTCAAACACCCTTATATAATTATGCTCTCCAAACAAAGTAACAATCCTACAAGTTTTTTTTTATGCAGCCTTGATAACCAATGCAAGTAATCCACATTTTTGTTGCTTACCTCCAACCATCATACTTGCAAAATTATTAAGTATAAAATCCACTACAATTGTCTCTTTGAAATGTTGTGTGAAAATTTTATGTCAAATTTAAACTTAAATTTCTTACACAGTAACTTTTTTTATAACATGAGAGTTCTAGTAGCTAATATATCACTACTAGTTGTATCACTCTCTCTACTATATTCATTGGCTAACTTCTTATAATAATAACCATCAATTTCATATATATTATCACACTTTTATGATATGTCAACATAAAATTCAAAGTTACTCTTAACTTTGATCAACTATATCTAAATCTCCTTATTCATGCTAACTAACTACTTAATTCACCTTAGCCTCCTCATTCATTCCAACACACTCATTCATCTTAACCACCTTATTCATTATAACAAGATCATTCATCTCACCTTTCTTGTCCAATCCAACTTCCTTATCTCTAATCAAATCAACATTTTTAGTTATTCAAATTTACTCATGTATCCCATTAACAAGACTTTTTCCATCACCCTAACCTCTCATATATTGGACATATGATTCCAATAAAATTAAGTTTTGAAACATTATGTTCCAAATATATTCATATTTCACATTTTATTATTCATTCTGTAATTACCAACCCCATGACATTATTGTCATTCTAAAATGGTTTGAAGTTGGTTATAGAACTTTTATTCTCTAGTTTTAATCAAAGTTTTATTGAAAAATTTAAGTATAAGTCTAAGTCCCATATGAAGTAAGAATAAGAAAGGTGAGTTAGTAAATTCTCCAATGGAAAGACCTAACAAGTTTCATATATTTTTATATGTTAAATTACTCAATAAACTCTCTTGACTTCCATAAAAGATCACCAATCTAATGGAAAATTATCATCACTTTCCCCATTTTTTTTCTTTATTTATAATTTTGATCTTATCAAAGTTTTCAAAATATTTAATGATCTATTTGATTTATGTTGGCCCAAACCAAATATCATATTTAATTTAAACTTAGTTATTTTTTTCTCATAAATAAAAAAAATACATAATTAAATCACTACAAAAAAATGAGTATTATTTACAAAATATTACCTATGGATAAAACTCCGTAGGTAAAATATACATTACATACGGATATTACCTAAGGAATTCTATCCATATGTATATTATCTATTACCTACGAAATTTGCCTACGGATGAGATGATTATACATTACCTACGGATGTAGAAGGTAGGTAATGCTTATTTACTACTTTACCTACTCATTTACCTACGACGCTAATCCCCTCCACTCATTCTCATATATTCTTCCCCATTTAACCACCAACCTCACTCTCCCTCTACCCAGGCGACACTTTTTTCCTCACTCACGACCCCTCTCATCATCTCTAACCAAACGACCACCGTTTCGCCAAACTTCCACTTCATCCTCCCCATTCACCACTAACATTCGGTTCCCCTGCATCCAACTCCCCCATGCTGGCTTCTCCCTCTTGCGACCCATCTCACACGCGCTGCTCCTTCTCCTTACCACGCTAGCCACCACGGCTCAAAGACGCACACCCCCATCATGACCCACACCCATCATCAATTCGAATCCACCCACCGTGTGATCAACCACCACGATCTTCGGTCGCGCCACTAACCTTCACCGTCGACACAACCAGCCACCATGCACCCTAACCGCGTGCGATTCTCCGTGGTGCCTCCACCATCTCACCCGACAACCTTAGTCCCTCTACGACTCCAATCTCCGCAACCTCCATCTTTGCGCCCATTACGAGTCCCATCCAACCACTGGAATTGCTGCGTCTCAGCCCCCGTCCTAAACCCATGACCACTATTACCGCGTGAACCGCCGGTTCTGAGCCCTCCACTTCCATCGCGAGCCACGAAACAATCTGGGTCGCTGCTGCTATTGGATTCAAGAAAGATTCCTCTCAAGTTGTTTGTCCCGTTTCACCCTTCTTTTGATAAATTCAATTCTGCTTTGTGTTTGTTGTTGTGTTTGGTTTGATTTTACCATTTTCAAGTTGGTTCTGTTGGTTACGTCGACCTGACTTGATGTTGTCTGAGTCCTGAGCTAGTTTGGTGTTGTTCGTGTTCTGATGGCTCTATTTGGTTTTGTTTAGGCCTGAGTTCTTGTTTGATGCCTCAATCGGGCCACATTGTGGTTGTCTGATTTTGTTGGATTTAACTGTAGTTAGGTCAATCATTCTTATTTGGGTTTGCTCTGTTGCATTGTTAGGTTTGTTTCTAATGATCTCTGTTAGTCTCATGTTTGTTTTGGTCTAGACTGGGGTTCGTTAGAGGTTAACTTGGGTTTTGTTGTCATTGAACAGACGTGTCATCATAATGAGCTAAAATTATGGTTAAATTCTGGATAGTTGTAGGACCCTATAGGTCGGACAAGGTTGTTAGGGTTGGTCTCAGTCGTTATCCTATGGTGCATCTTAATATTACTGTTGTTTCTCTCTGGGTCTGCTGATTTCTCTTTGGGTCTACTGATTGAATTGTTGTATTGGAATCTATTATTAGAACTATTGTTTGGGTCGTATTGGGTTGTGTTGTATTTCCATAACTATCAAAGGCCTCACATAGGCTATCTGAAATGTTCAAAGATGCTAGAGGGGCAGGAAAGGAGCCCTATTGGATGTTTGATGATGTGTGGAATGCTTTGTTGAACAAGTGGAACTCAACTGATTATCGTGCAAAGTGTGCACAAGCTCAAAAGAATCGAGCTTTTGAGATGAGTGGTAGTTTACACACAAGTGGTTCTATTAATATGCATGAGCACACCATTCGTATGGTAAATATGCAATTATAACAAAAGTTTATTTCTTTCGTTTCTTCATGATATGTTATTAATTAATTTTTTTTGCAAGAAAAGGAGTTGGGTCATCCTGCACATATTGATGAGGTGTTTAAACAGACTCATATACAAAAGATTAATGGTGAATCTGTTGATGAAAGGTCTAGAAAAACTCATGTGAGTTGTGAACTTATTTAATATTACTCTATTACTCTCTTACATGTTATGATGGATATGTGTTGTATACAATGCATGATTTTTATTTGTATGTTAATAGGAAGATTTTCATAGAAGATACTCTCATGCTAGATCTGAGGCAACATCTTGTGTTGCTGAAACTAGAGGAGGAGAGAATAAGGATTGAAAGTTGGGTTCTTGCTGCAGGTGGCAAAAAAAAAGGTCAGATCTACGGTGTTAGAGAACTTGCCCATAATTTTAGGCCTGGAGATACGCTCTCATATTTAGGATCTACTGCTTCTCGTGAGATTACGTAATTAAAGGAACAAGTGCTTAGTTATAGGGAGGATAATGAAATATTGAGCCGCCAATTACAAACACTTATCAGTGTTGTCCTTCCTTTTCTTCCACCTGATGCCTGACAAACATTTCAACAACAACAACCTTCCCAACAAGGATCACAACAACAAAAAGAGCAACAACAATCACAGGAGCAATAACAACAACAGTCACAACATCAACAACAATCAGCATCAGCAGAGCAACCTCAAAATGAACAAGGACATTACTCAAATTATTAAGACACTCAAACAATATTGTCATAATATTTATTAAAATATTTCTTTAGATTTATATGTTCTTAGATATTTGAATGACTATTTGATGCATGTTAATGTTAGGATTTGTGTTTGATATCTGAATATGCACTTGGTGCATATCAATATTATGGAATATTGTTGTTAAATTTGATATCTAAATACTTTGTGTGTAATATGCATGTAACAGGTAAAATTTAGTTAAATCGAGTGGGTGGTGAGGTGAAATTTTTTAAATATACCTAATGATTTACCTACGGATTCTAGTTCGTAAGTAAATTTGAACGTGCACATTAACTACGAATTGTAATCCGTAAATAAATACCTATGAATTGTAATCCGTGATTTACCTACGGACATAATCCGTAGGTAATTACCTACGAACGACATTCTATGGACAATAATTCCATACATAAATTACCTATGACTATATTACTTACAAATTTTTTTTCCATAGAAAATCTGTATGTAAAATGACATTACCTACAAATTTTTATCATTACTTATGAATTTTTGTCATAGATAATACAATTTTTTTTATAATGAATGTATAATAAAAAGGACGAAAAAAAAGAAAAGAAAAGTGATGCAATATATTGAATAAGAAAATTTAGAAGATGTTTTATACCGTCTCACATTTTTATATCATTTCAATAACATTCAGTACAATCAAATTCATTTTTTTCTCACTCTCATCAAATTCAATAATTGCAATTATTGATTAATTTGCGTCAAGACTAAACTCTTCCTTTTCTTATGCATGTAAAAAATATTTGTTTCAAATTCTAGGAACAATGATATAAAAATTACTTCATGTTTTCAGTGTGGTGATAAAAATACTTTTCTTGTCATCATTTCACTACTGTATTATTGATAAATTTTTATTATTATTTATTGTTTCAAAGTATAACATAAATGCATTAAGTTTTGAGAGTGTTTGTTGTTTGAAAATAAATATATAATTTTAATTTTTATAAAATTTTATCATTTTATTATTAGAAAAGAAATTTATTGAATTTTAATTCAATATATAATTAGATTCTTAAAATTTTTATTTTAGGTTTAAAGTTTATTTTTGTTTTTTAAAATAGGTATATTGGTGAAGTGTAAAGGAGTATATTTATCTCTCACAAGTAATAAAAAGGAAACTAGTTATGAAAATAATGAAAGTTCAACATTTCCACCTATTCCAAACCATAATATTGATAATGAAACTATTTAATAGAAGAGTTTCTTTAAAATAATTACTATTGAGTCTCTAAATTATCTTTAAGAACCAACACATACACAAAAACAATTTATAAAAATACTCAAAAATTTGTTAAAATTACTATAAAGAAAGAATTAAATGGTCTAAAAAATCATACCAACTAAAAAGGAGTTTCTACTTCTACAAATAATATTAAGAGTTAAATATATTTTTACGACCTAATAACTCCACACAAACACAAATAGAAACTGTTGATATAAATAATACAATAAATTTTAATAAACATAAAAATTTCTCAGAAATCCCAAAATATTAAAACAACATTAAACTAGGAGTCAAAACTCTAGTGAAGAATTTCATATTAATATTTTTGAGAATTATCAAGAAAATATTTAATGAATCATAAAGATCAAATTATAAGAAGGGAGTGAATTCCATATCAAAACTATAATTTTTTTTTTGGAAAGAGAATCATCCAAAGAGATCATTACTTGCTTTAAGATGTTTTCTTCTTAGCCACTAAAAATGATTTATTATGAAAAATCTAATTTCAAAATTTATAATATTTTTTTAAAATTTATTTATAAAATTTTCAAACGAATAAATCTAAACCTATTTTACAGTGAAAATAATACTGTCTTACTCTTAAATGAAGTTTGGATTCCGCATTTGTAAAATTTTGAAGTCCTGATTATTTAGACGATGTTATGATATTAGATATACGCCCACACACACTTATATATATTTTTTATGGGATGCTTTTAACGGGCTTCGACATGCATTAGCTTAGCCCAAAGTGTTTTGTCTTGCATCGATCCGTGTCCTCCACACCTGTGACTTGCTGACTAGCGGATCTAGGCCTCTCTTGGGCACAAGATCTACGAGCACTGCACTACCTTCACCGTGTGATGAAACTTGATAACAACCGATTAGAGTGACAAGAGTCTTCACTCCATCGACGCACTTCCGAGATGGCTTTCATGGCGGTCTTGGAATCCGACCTCCGCGCTCTCTCCGCCGAAGCTCGCCGTCGTTATCCCGCTGTTAAAGACGGCGCAGAGCACGCCATCCTCAAGGTTACTCTTCACTGCTCTTATTTGTCGTTTCGCATTAATGATTTTGAATTGCATCTGGTTTTAGCTCTCTGTGACCTCCGAGAATCTGCTGCATTGCGATTCGATTTTGCAAATAGGAAGATTGTGCTATGGTGTTTCGTTGTTTTAGGGACTGGTTTTAAATGAAGACAATGTGACTATATGAATATCAATTTTGAATTTCCATTTCTCGACTAGTAGATCACACAACCATTGAAATGGATTAAATTTTGGATTTAGTTTGAAGTAACCTCAATGCTTGAGGATTGGTTACTCGGAAAATCAGGACCGTATTTTTTTTTTTAATTTTGAATGATGCTCGAATCAATATTTAAGGAAACTTTAGCGGCGGAAACTTTTTGGGCAATGTTCTGAATTGACTCTGTTAGATGCTGAAGTGAAATAATACTGATAATAGGCAATTTCAAAAGACACTCGTGTGTGCGTTTTGTTCATTTCATCTTCTAAATAAAAGAATGACAATTATAAAGTCTTTACATGTCTCATTATCCATTTGCAGCTTCGTACATTGTCAAGTCCTAGTGAAATTGCGCATAATGAGGACATACTACGCATATTTTTGATGGCGTGTGAGGTCCGAACAGTCAAGCTTAGCATTATTGGACTTTCGTGCCTGCAGAAACTGATATCTCATGATGCTGTTTCTCCATCCGCCCTGAGGGAGATTTTATCTACACTGAAAGATGTAAGTTTAGATAACCAGTTGAATCGTATGATGGTTTAAAAACATTTAACCGGTCCTCAATTTTGACTCTACTCTTTGGCAATATTTGATTGTATCACAATGTCTGTTTTGCGTGGCCTTGGTATGTTTGTATATAGTGACTTTCAAACCTTGTTCCTTAAATTCTATGTTTAGGTTTAATTATTGTAGATTTATGTCGGAGCTGGTACATTATGTTTTAGTTTCATTCCACTGGAAAGGCTAAGTCATGCATAAATAACCTCCTATCTTTCTCTCCTTCTTGTCCACTGGCCTGTGCAGCATGCTGAAATGGGTGATGAGGGTGTTCAGCTTAAGACCCTTCAAACAATATCAATAATATTTCAATCACGATTGCACCCTGAAAATGAGGTATGTTTTAACTACATGAACTACTGTGTTTGATATTGTTTGCAGTGTATAATCTGTATTTTATTATAGCTGGACCTGAATTTGTATGGTAAGCTGACTGTACCCTGTTCAATATAGTATATAATATATTGATTTTATTCAATAAAAGGCGTAATAGACCTAAATAAGGATTATATAGTGTGAAATGGACTGTAGGATACAGTTAATACATTCAGATTGGATGATTTCCTTGTTGGAGGTTTGAACTTTATCCCATTTTTTAAGTATTAAGAACATTTTGGGAAGATGGATTTAAAGCTGCTTAGCTATGAATCTCATCAGAAATATTCACTAATTGATTGGCTACATGGATCAATGAGTTTTGTAGACCAAGAGAATTGTTTTAAATTTGAGGATTATTCTTGTTAAGCTGAAATTACATCATCAATGTTTCTTTTTTCTTCTTTTCTGAAAAGAAGATTCAATTAGAAAGCAATAGAGTTCTTGTATGCATCAACACCAAAGGAAGAGAGCAAAAAGAGAAGGGAAATAGAATATATATGCTTGAGTGAGCATCCTGATCCCTTTGTAAAACAGGTTGTTGCATTGGAACTCCCTTCCCCAAAAGAAACAGTTGGCTTTGATCTGTAAGGACCAAGGAGGTTGAAAACAGGAATTTATCTTACACAATATAATAGATGAAACATCATTTATAAAGTTATAACACTATAGAGCAGTAAGTTAAGGTATCCCTAAGCTTCCAGAATTTGGAAACACCATAGAGTTGGTTCCAAAATTTCCAAGCCAATTCATCATGTTAAAACAAGCAGTTGCTTGCTTTATACAAATATTGGGACAAGGTTTTATGTGGTCTTCACACATTTGATGGATCATTAGTGTTAAATCTAGTAAGTAGTGTGGGTTTATAACAACTTTAGCCTTGGAGGGGACCTTCACCTTAAAAGGAACCAAATTATGGCATTAAGGATTATGACTAAATATTTTCTAAAATTTTTCCAGGAATGACCCTGAAGATTCTCTGTTTTGAGTGCGTAGAAAAGTTGTCATATGGCTTCTCAAAATATAACTCTAATACTATACCATTATTCATAGTGGCCATAGCAATTAGATTAGCTTCTAGAGTCTGTCTGCCAGCCAAATGCCACATTTTAGCAGTGGAAATTGCAACTTAATACTCCTTCCACAATCTCAAGGATAATTATTATGTCAAATGGACATAATAATGTGATTCAGCCAAATTACATGGTGCAGCATTCAGTCAAATGGTCCCAATTATTATGTGATTGCTGAAATATAATATTGTTAAAAAACGGATATATGAGTCTGGTTTCATTATATTATACTGTCCTAGTCTTGTTCAATTTCAATGTTTTTATCTGAAAGATAAATAGACTGGAATTACCTTTGAATATGTGTCTGACTTGTTATAAGTTATAACTATATCTTGTTAATTTCAGGATACCATGTCTCAAGCTCTTGGTATTTGTCTCAGGCTTCTTGAAAACACTCGATCTTCTGATAGTGTGCGGAAGTAAGAACTCTCTCTCTCTCTCTCTCTCTCCATATTTATATATTTATAAATAGATAGATATATAATAAGTTGTGATTCTGTTGGAAATAGTAGTATTTAATGTTTATTATCTCTCCAAGTAGTTCAGTTAATATTAGCATAGTTCAATGTACCTTAGGAAGTTGTGATGTTTTAATTGTTCTCTTGAAATTAGTTATGGTTATTTGTTATCTGCAATCATTCTTGTTATAAATAAATCATTTTGCTGAGTGGTAAAAGTACCCAAGCACATTCGGCAAATTTCTTCTCACATATTCATCTAACTTCTCTCTGTAGCAACCTTTTGTCCATATTAATGTTATATCTGTCATCAGTTGTTTATATTTATTCTTTTAATCCGCATGTGTTATGAATTATTTTTGCAGTACTGCAGCAGCTACCTTCAGGCAAGCAGTGGCCCTGATATTCAATCGTGTAGTTTTGGCTGAGTCTCTTCCTGTTGGCAAATTTGGTTTTGGAGGTCAGCTCACTCGGACAACTTCAGTTACTGGTGATGTTAACCGTAGCATCAATTTAACTGAGTACGTTCCCCCCCTCTTTAATAGAAACTTGCTTAACTGTGTTATCTAAAGTTGACCTATTAGTTCTCAGGATTTGAAATTATGGTTATGATCATTAGATCATGATGTTTACAATTCCAGTGAGATGACTTCTTAATGGGTTTTATTACCATGCACAGCCCATTGGATCATGAATCTGTTTCTGGAAGGCCCCCTGTGATGAGGGAGACTTTAACCGAAACCGGAAAACTTGGGCTGCGCTTGCTTGAAGACCTGACATCTCTTGCCGCAGGTGGATCTGTATGTGCTTATTTGGAACTAATTTTTTCTCTATGTAGCATTAGATCCATTTTGTTGGAATTTTGTTTGAGTATCGATAAACTGTTAGGTGCCCTCGTTTTTTATTCACATCATTATTAGTGAATTCTGATATTCATTAAATGCCATTTCTTACTGGATGACATTAACCTCCATCTATTGTACTACAGGCAAATTGGTTACGTGTCAATATTTTTCAGAGGACATTTGCACTTGATATTCTTGAGTAAGAGATATTTTTTTATTGTGTGGTTTACTGGTTAATTTCATTTTGCAGATTCTTTGCAATCATATATTTGATTGAGATGCCTTGAATTGATAAATATTTTCTTTTGTTACCTTAAGCTAAACTAGTGAAGGACATTGATAAACTTACACACACACATATATGTGTATATATATATATGTATATATATATACACACACACACACACACACACACACACATATATATCCACTTACTCTAAGAGTAAGAGTTAGAGACTTATTCTTTGTTCTCACCATTCATTTTCTTGTAATCTAATGATTAAGATAAATTATTATTTTAGATCATTATAATGTTCCAAATGTGTTTTACAGGTTCATTTTGTCCAATTATGTGGCTGTCTTCAGAACCTTGTTACCTTATGAACAGGTGAATATGTCTATTGCAATTGTGTATGCTGTTACTGGTCTTTACTTGAGTGTACCAGACCAGCATAATTTTTGTTCTTTTATGTTAATGGATTTGTTCATAATTATTCAGGCTTTAAGACGACAAATTTGTTCAATTCTTATGACTTCACTCCGTACCAATGCTGAGGTAATTAGTGCCCTCAAACATGTACTATAATTATGTCGTTTAACCATTTAAATTCTTTCTCCCTGTTTTTGAAGGGTAGAATGCTAATTTTCATAATTCTTTAATATGTTAATTAGCTTGAAGGAGAAACTGGTGAACCTAGCTTTCGTCGTCTGGTCTTGCGTTCGGTTGCTCATATTATAAGACTTTACAGTTCTTCCCTTATAACAGAATGTGAGGTTAGTTTCCTATTTCCTTTTCCATCGAGCTACTCAACTCAGTCAATTAAGCTTAGGAAATGGACAGTGCAGATTTTCTTTTTTGGGTTGAGTGAGAGGGATAAATTTGGTACTTTTATGATGTAATTTACAATAAGATAATGCTTGTGAAGAGTTACTTCAAACTGACAGCTAATTCTTTGAAGTAATCTAAGATAACAACCTTATATTATGTTGACCTTTGGTGTCAGTTCCTTATGTGTGTGTGTGTGTGTGACAGTTGCTAATTTTTCTTCTAACTATCAGGTTTTTCTCAGTATGTTGCTGAAGGTTACTTTTCTTGATTTGCCATTATGGCATCGCATTCTTGTTCTTGAGATTTTAAGGGTAATGTCGTTGTATTGTATTATTTTTGTACTTTTCTTTCATAAGTTGTTGATCTATTCAGTAAGTCTTTAACCTAACAACCAGAAATGGTGGTTTGTAGGGATTTTGTGTTGAGGCACGGACATTGCGGATTCTTTTCCAAAATTTTGATTTGTAAGTTCAATTTCCCCCCCCCCCCTCATTTAATGTTATTTTGCATAATTCTGGGAGACATGAGTATATTGGTATGCCCTGTAACTATTGTTATGGAAGTTTTTTTTTTTTTTTTCTTAATTCAATGATATTGTGCTTACCAATTCTATTTCTGCCCAACTAGTATGTGTGTCTTATAAGTATTTACAAGATAGCTTATACCTTGTTGCTTATTGGCCCCTGTGAAATTTTAAAGGATTAGATTTGTATAGAATTGATGGGGATATTTAGAGTGATTTCAACCTCAAGATTCAAGCAAGACGGTTGAAGGTAGAGGAAGACAATTATGGGGCAACATCAATTATAGATCTCTCTTTGCACTTGATATAGGATGAATAATGTGGTAAATTATGTTTTTGGACCCTCAAAATATTTCAAAATGTTGATTTTAGTTCCTTCAAATATTTAATGTCTTTAGTCCTAACATTTACTGGAAGTAATATGTTTAGTCTTTCATTAGGGATTAAATATGTGTTTTTGAATAAATGTGGGGACTAGAAACATATTAAATTTATACAGGGACTAAAACCTTCTGAAATTTTTGAGGCACCTAAAATTTACTTTACCCTTAATTATGGTGGTGTGGTTTGTGTAGATTTATAGAGATTTATATTTAATTGGGTTTGGGATTCTTTAGAAGATATACAATACAACGTTACACATCGTGATTATGTAAAAACTGATCGAGCTTTTGTAAGAGGGTGTAATATAAGTCCATAGATGAGGGTATGTACATTGTGAATCCTTCATGGCAAAGGGATGTTCATGCATGCAATTCTTAGGTGCAAGTGGCTCGAGATGAATTCTCGGTTTCAGTTCTTTTGGTTGTCTTTTCCCCCTATACTTGTTATGGTGTTGTGGGTTACATTTTATTTCTGGCTTTTCTTTGGTTCTACTTCTACCCATGGGATGTTTTAAAGAAGTTACTGTTTCTGACATGCAGAGAGGTTGGGCAGCCTTGCTACATTTTATACTATTGTTTTTGTTGTTATTTCTATTACTGTTATTTCTGTATCTTTTTGGTATCTGGATATTTCAATTCTCTCTTCTCTATAGTAAAATTGCTATATCTTTGAAAACGATAAATGGGCTGAAATATATGATTTAGACTAATATAAGTTCTTTATATCTGATTTACTGCAAGAATTGAAACATGTCATATGAAGAGACATGAAATAAGATTCACTGTTTTGTTATAGAATAACCATTGAGGTATTTTTGGGAGTTTTTCTCTGGTTGGCATTGGGTATGACATAAAGTTCTCTTGTAAGGAAGTTTTTAAGCCCGGACTGGAGACTAATTAATTTAGTGTTGCCTCTACTATGCTTTAAGATATTAAATTATGCTTAATCTCCCAGATGGTATAAGATTGCTTAAGTTTTTATTTTTGACCAGCAGAAAATAAGATTAATTGGTCGTTTAAGAAGTGTCCATGAGTGTGACCAACTCACCAACCCCGTTCCCGTTCTGCCTGCTATGTAGTTGTTGTGGTGTCTTGATGAAATGTGCCTGACAAAGTTGTGGATAGGTTCTGGCATTAGTAATCTGAAATGACAGGGAGCAAGCTCGAGTTATAGAAACAGGAAACAGGAAATAAAGGGACCAAGTATGTTGTAGATAAAGAAGAAAAAATCACAGAAGCAATATGCTACACCTGTCTGAACGGCCTAAGCCACCAAAAGAACTCAGATGCTCTAATGTTCCCCTCCCCAGTCATTCACATTCCAAAACATGGTTCCAGTACCTTTCCCACCAAAACTCCATACTATTTTTGACTTGTTGGCATTTCTACCCTGACCCTTCCCTTATTCTTTCTATGGTAAGTGAAAAATGCCAAATTGTAGGCCTGATGGTTTGCAGTTCATAAATTATCAACAAATATTAGTGAAAGATGGTTGTAGGAATCTTTAGTCACATGACACTTCCACATAGTATTATAATATATTCAATAATCAGTCCTATGGGCATCAGTAAATCTTTAATTATGCTTTATTACGTGAGTTGTCCTGAAATTCTAGTTATCCTGGCCACTTGGTCTATTGCAACTGTGTTGAAGTTTAGTATCATATCCAATCCTTTTCAGTTACTAATTTGGCACTAATGAACTATGAAGCACCGACTCCTACACAGACACTGGGACACAACTCGAGTCTAAAATATATAACAAAGGGTTCACACACTATATTTTATATATATTATGATCAACATGACAAAAATATAAATTGATAATTAAGATTTATTTATTCATCTTAACTCAAGTAGTTAAACTCTATAATTTTCATATGATAAAAGAGTCTAAAAAAAATACTAAAAGGCATCCTATTCCACAATTCAGAGTCACAAAAAAGTTCTAAGAGAACCAATTATTGAAAAGAAAAAGAACATAGTAATCTTAATCTATCTAAGCCCCTTGATCATCATCATTGAAAAGCTCAACTTCTAGCTCTCTGGTTCATCAAGAGATAATTAGCAATTTCTAGAATTCCATTTTCATCATTTGATCCAAACTCCTATTGCGATGTTCCACCATTTAGTTTCTTCTTTGTGGAGAAGTCCTCAAAAGGAGACGAATTTTGTTATGAAAAAATACTAGATCTTCTATCCTATGAGGTGTCATCTTATTTCTTTTTAGAGTGAATAATAAAGTATGTGCACCAATTTCTTTCACAACATGAAGATAGACATGGTTGTTTAAGTAGCTCAAGGGAACCTATTGAAGTATTGGTGCATGAGCATAATGAACTAGCTAACAAGGTTTTGCATCCAATTAACTGCTATCCCTTAAAGAGTCAACATCATCAAAACCTTCTCTTCCGATAGAAAAGTTTGCAAACTCAACATATTAGTTGTCTACTTACATCCAATGGTCCTCTTGGACCGAAGAAAAGTTTGCACCAATTTCTCTTCTAAAGGAACCTGGAAAATCCCATGGTTCCCCTGCATTTATTGTGATAACCAGAGTGCAGTGACTATTGTTCACAATCCTGCTGTTGATGCAAGAACCAAGTATATGGAAATCGCCCTCTTCTTTGTTAGAGAAAATGTCCTATCAAAATGGCTCTATGTTCTACATGTTTCAGCTCATGTTCAGTGGGTTGATGCTCTAACCAAACCCCTATCTCCTACACGTTTCTTGTTTCTAAGGGACAAACTCAATGTGATTGTTTTTTCCGAAAGTCATCAATCACCTTGAGTTTGAGGGGTGTGTGAATAGTATATCGTCATATTAGTTATTAAGACTTTAGTTATTCTATTATTGTTTTTATAACAGCTGTAACCCTCTCTTTATTTTATATAAAGAGACTCTTGTTATTGTGTGATCTGTGTGATTAGATATTTTCTTTCAGTTTTTCTTTCTCTCCTCTGTCTCTCTCTCTCTGTCTCTCTCTCTCTCTCTCTCAAAGAACAGTAATACATAGAAAGTGGATTTTAAACCTAACAATTAAGAGGTGTGCTACTCTTAGTCCAATGATCAATTAATATGGAGTGCACTACAATTCTTACCTTTATTTCATATCAATATATGAGCTTTCTATCTGTTGCAATCATTGAATACCAATATTCATATGAAGAACAGTTGTAGTTTTATCTGTTTTTTTTCTAAGGACATAATATTTTAGTGAAAGAAAGTATATAATCAACCTTCCGGGCCACCTTTTCCTGGCTTTCCAAACAAAGCCCAAGTCCAATCCATCTAATTCGTTTTCTTACCATTCCAGGACGGCCCAGGCTGTTATCCGAGTGCAATCGGCATAAGCAAGTTTACCTTACTTATTTGAATAATAGAATTCGTTTTGCTGTCAAAAGTAGGGGAAAGTGTCTGATCCTTTCAATCAAGTGATAGAGGCAGAGGCTTTACTTCAATTGCCTACGCTAGGACGGAGCTGCTGTCGAGTGAGGATTGGTCGAGGGGAGTGCCATCATGTAGCCGGGTACAAATAAGCCAGTGAAATAGGACTACGAAGTGTATGGCGAAGTACGCGTGGTACGTAAGCGAATACGAATCACGTGGGTTTGTACTGATCCGCTTTCGAGTTATTGAGTGAGGATTGCTCCATTTATGAAGAAAGGACGCAGGGGGCCTCTCTTATGATATTATATTATATTATAAAGGGGGGTACTCTCTTCTCTGACGTGCGCTATATTATTGTGTTCTATTTTTGAAAGAGTTTTCGGGATTAAGCCACGTGGCAATACCCGCGAAAAACGATAGACTCTTTTTTTTTCGCTTAGAGCTTCCCACGTCTATAAATAGAAGCTGCTTTCTCTATTTGGCAAAGCAAGGGGAGATATGGATCCACCAGTTACCACTTTAACGCTTTTTCAAATTGAGCAAGCAATTCTTGCTATAGAGAACGCAAAGCTCCAGCAGGAGCAAACCCTGGCTGCCTTCTGGGAGCACATGCCTCCTATCGAGGAGGAGGTCCTGGTAAAGCGGATACAAGAGCTCCGGGACCGCATTTGCTCTCTGGAAGAACGAAGGAGGGTTCTCATCCGAGAGCGCGAATTGCTGCTTATCAGGGCGGCCTCCATTATCCAAAAATGTCTATTTCACAAATTTTGCCCTTCCAATATCACATTCCTTCTAAGAAGACCATTGCTCACTAAAAACCATTTCTTGGTTTTTTCAAATGCTTAAACCTCTTGAGCATTACTATGGTGGAAGTAAATCTTGTTGGTGCAAGATAAAGCAATTCAATAAGTTGAATTAATTGAACATCGATTTATCTCTGAGAGTGGTCCATGATAAAGGTTTTAACATTTATGGTATCTTCCACAATGTTTGTGATCCAAGGACACTCTCGGTAAATAACATTGTGTTTTTCTATGTTCTTGGCTGCACATATATTTTTCATTGCAAGATTTAAGGCATGACGATACAAGGAGTCTAGAAGATGTAAGAAAACTCAGCCTCTATGAACAAACTTGTTGCCTTATTCATCACTACATTAATTTCATATAAGTTTATTCTAGAACTTAATTTAAATACTAAAAGTTAATCAAATTCTCAAAATTGAAAATAGGATAAAAATTAGCAATACATACAAATTAAGAAACATAGCACATAAAATATAGAATAAGTAATTAACTTCTATTTTATTTTATGCTTCACTTTTTGATGAAAAATGCATCATATTTGTGTTTAATTTCTATCTTGAATGTTATGTTGTATTTATTTCTAGTGTAGAAATTATATTTAATTTTTTTAATGCATGAGAAATAGAGCATTAAAATTAATAAAGGATAACAAAAAGGCGGGGTAATGTCCATAGAAAAATAATGCATGAGAACCCACATAATGACCAAAGAATTTGTGCACTAAAACCTTAATGATCAAAGAAATTGAGCACTAAAACCTTAAAGTTACACAGAAGCAGAAAGAGAGAAATCATCGTTTGAAAAGAAAACCATCTATTCATTTTTAATTTTGAGATACAAAGCATTGAATTAAGACATGATAATGGTAAAAAAAATAAATCTTGCACAACCACATAACAACCTAATAATTTTTCACTAAAAAAAATGCTTTAGAAGTGAAAATAAAATTTTGGGTGCACTTTCCCTTTGAATGAGTAGATCTTCCAGCCCCTGTGCCTACCTTTACTCAATGCTCCTGAAGTCCGAAAAGGAGACTGAGTGGACAAGGGACAGGGGAGTTGAGTTACAGAAATGGTAGTCGTGGACTGGTACCGCAGGACAGCCTTCTTTTGGTAATCCTTATTGTGATCCCTCACTCTGGGCTAAGACAGTCTCTAATGAACCCATCAGAACAAGAGAGAAAACATGCTTGTACCTTATATTATTTCCAGAGCTTTAGAACAGAAGGAAAAGGATTCTTGAAAACTGTCTGGTGTAGAAATGCTGATACAGAAATCAAACGAGGCCAGAACACCCCTGATGAACAGATGCTCTTGTGAAGGGAAAAACAATGGTTGTGAAGAAGATCACGTGTTACCTAAATAAGTATAGCTTATAAAATATTTTAGGTTAATTTTTTTAAATCTTTTGGTGAACAAAAACATGGTGTGTGGACCATGTCAGTGTCATTGCTGTGTCCAAGCTGGAAAACCAAAAAAAATTTAGACAGCAAAATTTTGTCTGACTCATCGGCACCTCCTTCCTCTGCAGTGTCAGTGCTTCCTTGCTGATGAAGACATCTTTACTGCATTTATGTATTAGGATGTGGCAAATTTTAGTGTCATAAAGATGTATAGATTACATGAAAATGGCCCAAATTCAATACTATATTTCAGTAATCAATACTACGGGTTTCAGTAATCAATACTACGGGCTCAGTAAATATTAGTTGTGCTTTCGTACATCAGTTGTCCTGGCCACTCAGTCCAGTGCAAATGTGTTGATGTTTAGTGCTTTATTCAAACCTTTTCGATTACTAATTTGGCATTGATTGAACCATGTTTACCACGTATATAATGACAGGATTTGACAAATTTCAGTGTAATAAAGATACATGGATTACAAGAAAATGACCTAAGTTCAATATTATTATGTTTTCATTGTTGCTATCCATTGGCATCACAGGCACCCCAAGAATACAAATGTTGTGGAGGGAATGGTCAAAGCTCTTGCTAGGGTTGTTTCAAATGTACAGGTATGATTTTAACTGCATTAGGGGCAATTTATTTCTGAAATAGTCATGTTTTTGGTCATGGTATAACTGTTTTGCTTTGATTATTGTCAGTTCAGTTAACTTCAATTAATACATGTTTTCATCTAGCTCTTAACATAAATATATTTGGTGTGGGATCTCTGTCTTTTTTCTATATTTTAAATTTTTTTATGTTTAGAAAAGAAACTTTAAATGATTCTGTAGGTTCAAGAATCAAGTGAAGAGAGCCTGGCTGCTGTTGCTGGAATGTTTAGTAGCAAAGCGAAAGGTATTTTTTTATCTGTAATTATGTTGAACAAGAACAATTGCCATATTTATTTCTTTTTCGAAGTCAATATTTGTTTTGATTCCTTATCTACCTGGAGTTTTATATTGCCTCAGAGTAGGAAGTCTGATATAGGTTTATCTTGTTCTATCTGTCTTGTTTGATACTTTGTCAATATCATTTCCTGCTTCCATAAAATACTTGTAAGATATTATGGCAACTCTTACATTTTTCTGCTCCTTAGGTTTTGTTTTATTTTAGAGTTGTGGCTTTTCCTATCTTCAACGCATTTTAGCTGATAGCTCTTATGTGCTAGTGTTTTATATTTTCTTCTCTGTATAGTTTATTGTTTGACATCTTCAAAGAAGATGGTCTTCCTCTATTTCTCTATTCTCTTTTTCCATTATTTTGAATTCTTATTTTATTTTTGAAATATTAATCAAACTTTCAACACCTATTTGACTTAATAATTCTGACATCACATCTGATCGCCTTTAGGCAAGTTCAACTGGAATGATTTTTTGTAAATGAAAACTTTTTATAGATGAAGAATTTTAGTAGAAAGAACTATAAAGAGTGAGGAGGATAAAAAAAAATCCAAATAAACAAAAGAATTGAAATATTTTCCAATTGCAACAATTTTGGAGCCAGTCTTTTATAGTGTGGGCACATATTCACTTTAACGATCTCATTTCTACTATTCCTACCTCTTTATCATGTCCCTTTGAAGGCCAATATTTACTACATAGAGTAGAGTCAGTTATGTGCTAGTACGATAAACCTGCGTAGTTCAGTGCATTCTTTGTTAACAAATAACTTGTCGTAATCCTACTTGTATCCTGCGTATCATTCTTGTTATTTTCCATCCTTTTGTTATATTGATTCTAAATATTTACACTGAAACTTGATGTTTGACATTTTCCCAATTTTACTTCCATTCATATGATCTTGTTTCTTGCTTAAATTGCAATGCATGTACTTTGTCTTATTCATACTTAAGCAAAAACCTTTTGCATTCATAATTGTCTCCAAAGTTTAAGGTAATGGCTTCCCTTAATTTCTCAATTAAAACTATATCTGTTGGGCACATATCAATTAAAATCTGTTGAAGATCAGCACATATCAATCAGAATCATCCAATTCTGATTTGTACAACCCATAATAGGATTTAATGTTGATAAGATCAATTTTATTTCTTTATTTAGGTACAACATTTATGGGGAGAATATTTTCCTTTGATTTTCAGGGATAAATTAGTGTATAGGTTTATTCCCTTGTATCTATTTATACCTCCTTTTGTATTTTTCCAAAATAAGAGATATACATCTTATTTTCCACATGATTTCAAAGCTTGATCTAAACCATCCCTAACTTAGCGCCGTCAACCATGGGAGAAAACAAGCCAGAAGGTTTGGCCACTAATTTGGTAGAAGGGCCTGCACTTTCTATCATTGATCACAAATTGAATGGCCAAAACTACTTTCAATGGGTGTGATCAGTTAAAATCTTTCTTCAAGGAAAATTGAAGGAATGTTACATCACAAGAGACTCTAAGAGTCCAAAAGAGGGTGACTCTAACCTCAAAAAATGGCAACTGAAAAACAGTTTAGTCATGTCATGGTTGCTCAACACCATGACTAATGAAATTGGAGAAAATTTTATGTACTATGACATTGCCAAGTAGACGTGGGATGAAGTGAAGGAAACTTACTCAAATGTGACAATACTTCTGTAGTATTTGAGATCAAGAGCATACTCCATGTCCTGTAACAAGGTAATTTATCAGTCATTGAGTATTTTAATACACTCAGTCGACATTGACAACAACTAGACAGATATGAAGAAGTTCAATGGAGTTGTACCGAGGATGAGAAAACGTATAAAGAATTGGTGAAGAAAGATAGGATCTATAAGTTTCTATTAGGGTTGAACACAAAACTTGATGAATTCTGAGAGAGAATCCTTGGAACCAAACATCTTAACAATCCAGAAAGTATTTTCCGAAGTGTGAAGGGAGGAGAGCAGGAAGAAAGTGATGCTTGGAAAGTCAAGTGCAGTCCCATCCATTGAAGGCTCAACAATGGCAGCAAGGGAGAATCGGCCTAATCCATCTCATAAGAAAAACCGCCCTTGGTGCGATCAGTGCAAGAAATTGGGGCACACTAAGGACACCTGCTGAATTATTCATGGTAGGCCTTCAAAGGCAAACAAACAAAAAACTTGGACAACATACGTAAATTCTAATCCATCTCCATTCTAATCCATCTCCATTCTGCAAGGAGCAAATGGAAGCATTACAGAAACTTCTCCAACAAACAATTAGTATAGTTGTAGGAGCACCAAAAGGTAATTTTTTGTATGTTCTAAATACTAGCATGTTGCTGGAGACTTAACGACGTTTAAAAGCTATTCTCCATCCCTAAATAATTACTCAGCTCGGATAGTTGATAGGACTTTTTCTAAAGTTATGGGTAAAGGTTCAATTTTTATCTCACAAAATATTATCCTGATATCAGTCCTTTATGTGTCTAAACTTTTTGTTGTCCATTAGCAAATTGACAAGAGACTTAAAGTGTGTCAGTAAATTCTTCCCTAACCTATGTGAATTTCAGATTTTGGAGATGAGAAAGACAATTGGCAATGCTGAAGAATGTGTTGGACTCTTCTACCTCCAAGCTGAAGCGTCAGAAGCTGAACCCAAGGCCAACTCTTGTGCAACGGTACCCTAAAATTGTACAAATTCTATAATGTTGTGGCACTATCGACTAGGCCACCCAAATTTTATGTACTTAAAAAGAATGTTTCCCACATTATTGAATAAAAATCAGGAGTTGTTTCAATGTGAAATATACCAATTGTCCAAACATATTCGGAGCTTCTACTTACCTCAACCCTATAAACCCTCTCAACCTTTCTCCCTAATTCACAGCAATATATGGAGACCATCATCGGTAAACAATGTCACTGGATCAAGATGGTTTGTTACCTTCATAGACGACCACACACGGGTCACTTGGGTTTTCCTAATGAAGGAGAAATCAGAAGTTGGCAGAATATTTGAATTTTCTCATACTGTAGTGGAAACAAAATTTCAAAGCTAGATTAAGGTGCTTAGGAGTGATAATGGCTGAGAGTATTATCACTCTGTACTAAGTTCCTACCTTTAGAGACATGTAATTATACATCAGAGTTCATGTGTAGATACCCCTCAGGAAAACGGGGTCTTCGAGATAAAGAATAGACATCTCTTAGAAATTACCAAATCTCTCATGTTGGCTACAAATGTACCCAACCAATTTTGGAGAGAAGTTGTCCTCTCTGCAACCTACCTCAAACAGAATGTCTTCCTAATCCTCAACTTTAACACCCCTTACGCTACTCTGCAAACCTCACATCCTACTAGTCATATCCTTATATCCATTCTCTTGAAAGTATTCAGATGTTCAGCCTTTATCCATAACCTCCATTCTCATCGCAAAAATCTTGACCCAAAATCCGTCAAATGCATTTCCTCGACTACTACCCCCACCAAAAGGGTGGGGGGGGGGGGATATAAATGCTATTAATCTCAAACCATGAAATTTTACCACACCATGGATGTTACCTTTTTTGAGAATCAACCTTACTACCCCAGAGTTGGCATTCAAGAGGAGTAGACTTATCCAATTGAATTGGTAGAATCCCAACTTTTGGGGTTTGAGCTAGCTAAATCTGTCCGAAATGCAGAACCAATCAAGAGACTGCACCTGGCTCAGCAGAAACTACAGTAGCAAATGCAGAACTAGCTGAGACAACACCTGCAATAGAGGAAACTTTACCAACTGAAGCTAGAGAGGACTACATCTCAGCAAAATTAGGGCCCTATTACGTACTTCAGGAAGAGAAGGAAGGGAGTAGAGTCTAGCACAAATCCAAGGCAAAGCCATAAATCAAACTGGGTTCCAGGAAATGAGTTATCCCTAGGTAGTATCGTTTCTAATCCTGAATTGATGACATTGACATTCTTATTGCCTTAAGAAAATGGGTGAGATCTCGCACTCAACACCCCATTGGGAATTGTGTTTTATGGAAAATTGTCACTGGGGTATAAGTCTTTTGTGGGAGCTCTTTACAACATACATATCCCAAGGAATGTTCAAGAGGCACTCAAAAAACCTGAATGAGTTGCAACTTTAACAAAAGAAGTCCAAACCTTAGTTAAAAATGGCACATGAGAAATCACCACCCTACCGAAAGGGAAGAAATCGATTGGATGCAAGTGGATATTCTTCATCAATTACAATGTTGATGGTAGTATAAACTGGTATAAAGCCCGACTTGTGGCAAAAGGGTTTACCCAATTGTATGGAGTGGAGTACAAAGAGACTTTTACATTGGTGGCCAAACTCAATTCAATCTGAGGGATACTCTTTTGCTGCAAATTTAGATTGGCCACTTTATTAACTAAACATCAAGAATGCCTTCCTAAATGGTGATTAGACGAAGAAGTCAATATGCAAATTGAAACATCCATAACCTCAAGCATGGTGTGCAGGCTTCGAAAATCTCTATTTGGCCTTAAGCAATCTCCGAGAGCATGGTTTGATAGATTGACTCGAGTTATCATGGAAGACAGATTCAACTAATGCTAATCAAATCACACTATGTTTGTCAAACACTTTGTGGAAGGGAAGGTAGCCTTGTTCATTATTTACGTTGATGATACTGTTATCACAAAAAATGATTATAATCAAATAAAGCATTTGAAGGGATTTTTGGCCAAGGAATTTGAAGTCAAGGACTTGGATCAGTGCAAATATTTTCTAGGATGGAAGTTGCTCGGACAAAAAATGGTATTTATGTATCATGAAGGAAATATACACTGGACTTACTTCAAGAAATCGGCATGCCAATCATATCAATTACACTATGAGGATATTATGTTGTGACAACAAAGCTGTTATAAGCATTGCAAAGTGTTAAGGTTTCAACATAAAACCAATTGACAATATGTGGAGTAGCCTAACATGTATTTAAATCATACCAAATGACGTGAGGCAGACGATGTGAGACTTTCAGCACACCTCCTCCAACAAAGCCTACCGGACATGGCAAATGGTACTTTTGACTCACAACGAAAGGACAACTTTTGGCCCAAGACAATAACCATAAAGATATTAGGCTTTGGCTCTGATACCATGTTAAGGTTCCAACATAAAACCAATTGGCAATATGTGGAGTAGCCTAACATGTATTTAAACTATACCAAATGATATGAGGCAGGCGATGTGATACTTCCAACAGATATTATGGAAAATATGTTGTATATCTCTTATTTTGGAAAAATACAAAAGGAGGTATAACTAGAAAGCTAGAGAATAAACGTGTACACTATTCTATCCCTAAAAATCAAAGGAAAATATTCTCCCTATAAATGTTATACCTAAATAAAGAAATAAAATTGATCTTATTAACATTAAATCCTATTATGGGTTGTACAAATTAGTACAAATCAGAATTGGATGATTCTGATTAATATGTGCTGATCTCCAACTGATTTTTTTAATTGAAATGCACTGATCTCCAACATTCCCCCTCAATCTGGGTGGAAAATGTCTATCATACCTAGATTGGATCTAATGTTTTCATACGTGTTCCTTGGAAGAGCCTTTGTTAGGATATCTGTTGTTTGTCTGCATGATGGAACATGGTCAACACTTATAATACCATGACCAATTTTTTCTTTAATGAAGTTGTTAGGAACCAAGTATTAAACGGAGCAAGAAAATAAAGTTTCTTTATTAAATAGAATGAAAAGAACAAGAAATAGGAGAAGACTCTCCTCCAAGGGTTTCCCTTTCACAAAGGATTTCTCCTTTTACAAGGAGCTAATGCTCAATTTACAAAAAATATTCACACCTTGCTCCTATCCTTCACACCTTATTTATATCTAAACAACATCTTATGCAACTAACTAACTCATTAACACGCTAACTATCTTACAAACTTCTCCTTCCCCTTATACCCTAATAGAAGTGTTGATTAATTTCCACATACTTTATCCTATCATGGTGGATTGGGTGTTGGAAGTCCCACATCGCCTGCCTCATGTCATTTGGTATAGTTTAAATACATGTTAGGTTATTCCACATATTGTCAATTGATTTTATATTGGAACCTTAACAATATCATTTGCGAAGAACATGCACTTAAGGATTATATATGCCTGCTAAGCAAATCCAAGACTAGATTAAACACAAAGGCTTAAGGCTAAGCCTTGATGCAATTCAATCCCTTTAATAAAGTCTTTACTCTTGTCTCTTTAAGTTCTCATACTAATAGATACCTTGTCATACATGTATTGTATTGCCTGAGTATAAGCTACGTGAATATCTTTCGTTTCCAAAGTGTTCCACTACACTTCTCTTGGTCCTTAGTCATGAATTCTTTACAAGTCAATAAAGACCGCCATATGTAAATCTTTCAATGTTTTGATACCTGTCCATCAATTTGTGTAAAAGATAAACGACTTTAATATTGGTCCTTCCTAGAATAAAATCAAATTGATTCTCTGCAAGTCTTTCATTGTTTCGGTACCTTTCCATCAACCTGCATAAAAGATAAATGACTTGAATTGTAGCCTTCCTAGAATAAGACCAAATTGATTATCTATAATCCTAGTCTTTCCTCTTAATGGCTTGTTTCGTATTTCATAATGTGACTCATAAGTTTTTTATACCTCTGTAATAAACATTTTTTTTTTAATATCATTTAATCTTAAGCATAGAACCAAAGTACTCTTCCTTAACTCGTTCGATATTTTCTTTAGATTCAAAATCACGAACAAATAACCTGGTGAGCTAAATGATACCTGTTCTCTTGCACATTTCCAAACTTAAATAGGAATACTCTTTGGACCAACAATTTTTTTGTTATCCATCTTATGTTTCAGGTCACTTTTACTTTAATCCAAATATTGATACAATAGTGCAATACTATATACTTAAATAATAATTATCATTCTTTCACATGGAGCGTATGTTTGATTACACAATTATTGCAATTCAATTAAGGGAAAGGAACTTAATGGGTGTCGATTTAGAAATGAGAAATTCAAAACAATTTTGAAATTAAAAGCAACAATTAAAATAATGGAATATTCAATGAAGAGAAGTTTCGAGGATTGGGGGTACAATGACTTCCTATTTACCTAATCTCTTTACCTTAATGTTCTCATTGGTTCTCTTTGAAGGCAAATTAACCTAAGGTAATCTTTGTTCCATTTCATGATGTGGAGATGTATCAAATCGAAGCAACTCTTAATTTCATGTTAGTGATGCTGAATTAAATGTTTTACTCTGATAATTTATTTTATCCTCAAAGGATTAAAATTACATTAATGGTTTCAAGCTTGGGTTCCTTCCATGTGATGCCAACATATACATTCACCCTCCTGTTCTTCTCTAAGTATCTAAGATTATCCATAAACGAAGTGTAATGGTTTTGCATAAAGAAAATAAGGAAAGAGAGAATTAAGAGAAGAAACCAAAAGAACATCAAGACAAGTCAATTAGCATTATTACTTGTCAAAGGTTTGGTTTGTCCCCAACACTCACACATAATCATGGTATAACTCAAAAAACAATAAAGAAGAACATCAAACAGGAAAGAATTGTTGGAGAGGGAGGACCAATTCTTGATGTAAATTAGAATTAGTCTTCAAAGTCACCATAAACAAAATGTTAATTTGTATGACAGCATATTTGACCAAGTTGATTATATGGAATACACTATACCGTGCTATTCTTTAATTTTACCTGAAGTCTTGTCTTTACATAACCCTTGTGGTTATTTAAGTTTAGCTGTGATATGGGACAGCATGGTATTTGAATTGCTCATGAATGAGATGTTTTTTTCTTGCAGGTATCGAATGGAGTCTTGATAATGATGCATCCAATGCTGCAGTTTTGGTTGCCAGTGAAGCCCATGCCATAACTTTGGCAGTTGAAGGCCTGTTAGGCGTTGTCTTCACTGTTGCAACTTTAACAGATGAAGCCATAGATATTGGAGAGGTAATTTCTAAAATTTCTGTTGTTTTTCCATTTCCAATTTGTTTTTTCTTTTGGATATGCTACTTAAAGCCCTACTTCCTCTATGTCCATTCAGCTTGAGTCTCCTAGATGTGATAATGATCCACCTGTGAAATCATCTGGTAAAACTGCAGTTCTCTGCGTCTCAATGGTTGACTCACTGTGGTTGACGATACTTGATGCATTATCCCTTATTCTATCAAGGTTTGTTTTTCTACATTCACAAAAAAAAAAAAAAAAATGACACTGGTGGAAAGGTCTTCAATAACCTAGTCACGGCAATTAACAACTATGGAATTTTTTATTAAGTGATCATGTTGATCTTGCATAAAATTTAGAACAATTGGAAATGAATAAGCATGGTTGGTGTTTTCGTAGTATGGAATCATGCAGATAAAATGCCTAAACATCTTCCTGATTCATATGAAAATTTGAGTTTGAACAGCACATGGTCGGATCTTAATATTCTGCTGAATTTTATGAGTAATTTATCCTATCAAACATTGTTTAGTGATCTAAGATTTATTCTATACCATGCTGGTTACAGTTAATCTTTGTTTGTTATGATTTCAATATATTCTTTGACGTTTGACTTGGGGTAAATTTTAAGGTCACAAGGAGAAGCCATTGTGTTAGAAGTATTAAAGGGGTACCAGGCATTTACTCAGGTAAGAGTTTCTGCCTTTAACTCTCTGTTTTTTTTGCATGACATTTGAAATCAACTTTGAACTTAAAATGATATATGGATTGTACAATTTCATAGGCTTGTGGTATTCTCCGAGCTGTAGAACCTTTAAACTCCTTTCTTGCATCTCTTTGCAAATTTACAATCAATTTTCCTGGTGAAACAGAAAGAAGGAGGTATGATGTTTTAAATCTGTTGATAGTACTTTCTGTTTTCATTTATCAAGCTGCTTCTCACGAAATCAAACTTACAGTACTGAGATTTTGGCAGTGCTTTGCCGTCTCCTGTATCAAAACGATCAGAGCTATCATTTGATCACAGGGATAATGTTGTGCTTACCCCCAAGAATGTACAGGTGGTCCTTTTGGTTCTGTGAATGACAATGTGTTCTTTCCTCAACTGATAATTTTTCTCTGCAAATTTGTATATTTGATTGTGTCATTACTCATATTTCATCCACACTGACAACGTGAACTAGGCCTTGAGAACTCTTTTCAACATTGCTCATCGATTGCATAATGTTCTGGGCCCATCATGGGTTCTGGTATGTTCTATATTTTTCCTGTTATCTTTTATGTACATTCCTACCCCCATCTGAGTGAATGGTCATCATGAATACCTGCAGGTGTTGGAAACTCTGGCAGCTTTAGATCGAGCAATTCATTCTCCACATGCCACTACTCAGGTAATTTTATCTATTGTTCTATTATTTGGCTTGCAAAATACCTGTAGATATCATGAATTAGGTTAATCTTGGATATTGGTCCAAACCATTACAGGCTCTTCTCCATATAGTTTAAGCTTTTTGTATAGTAATTGGTTCTAGTGTTTTTTTAATCAAGTGGTTCGGAATTTGATTTTCACTTCCCTCTACTGGCCACAATTAATTAAACTAAACTTTTGCAATAAGCACAGATTGTGTTGCTTTGTCCCTTTTTTTTCGTTGCCAAATATTAGTTCTACTTATGTACTTTTCCATTCAATTGCTGACCAATATGGCTTACTTTTGAAGTTTCTTTTTGCTTTTTGCCTTCTTTGTTTTGTAGGATTTTATCCTTTCTCTAGTTGTACTTTACCCTTTCATCTTTTTGCTTATTATTGTTTTTAAATACAAGCTAAGATCGTACTTCTTTGTTGCATAGTGTACCTGCTGTTTGTATTTGAGAAACATATACAAGTAACTTTTGATTCTGTTCAGCCTTTTATGAGTAATTATTCTTGGATTAGGGATTTATCCACCACCCCTCGGATCTCTATTTCCTTAGGAGTTTGTCTGATGACAATATCCAAAGTGAATCTTTGTTGAAATCTTTCTTGCTAATGCTAGATGGGACAATTGTCCTAAAGGAGGCACCAACAAAACTAGATCTTTTCGTTTGTCCTTTAACTTCAATAGTGTGTGGATTCTTGATAGTGCTGGTGCATGTTCATGTAAATGCTGTCTTCACATTACACCCCTCTAAAAAAGTAAGCAAAATGCTACTTCTGTAACTTCCTCCAAGATGTCAATAAAACCATATTCTGATGAAATGCTACAAGTTGGGAGATCAATAGGCAACAAAACTCGACTTTAGGGGTTTTGTACTACAAATGGCATAATATGATAGGCAGGAAAATAAGGAGAGGAAATGGAGTGTATATTACAGAAGGAAATTTACTAATAAAAAGTAGTTAGGTAGGTAATTGTGTTGATGGAGGAGACTTTTGGACAAAGTCTTTATATGGTTGCGTTAAGGGGTTGTGAGGGGATGTTTTTTGGAGTTTTTGAGAGAGCTAACAGGGAATTGCCATATGAGAAAGGAAATACCAACGTTTGTTGTGGAGATGTTGGTTTCATTTAGACTTTCTTTGGAAATTATATCACGAGGAATATTCAGTGTACATGGAGTTTGGCTTTGTCCTTTATTTTCTAACAAAGAACGTAACATTTTGGTCCAACCTCTCAGATCCAAAGAGGAGGGGAATTATGGAGAATAGAGTGAGTTCTTTGGAAAGATGGGCTAGTGAACAAGGAAAAGTGAGTGTGGAAAATGAAGATGGATTTGGCTATTGTGAAAGATAGTTTGCAAGACATGAAGGAGATTAAAGAAATGCTACTAGAGCTCAAGAAAAACGAGAAATTATCTGAAAGAGGTGAAAAGGAAGAAAGATCTATTCATGATAACAAATTTGATAAGGAAGGAGACGACGTGCTAAGGCCTTGGATGAAAAGGATGGATTTACCCACATTTGAGGGGAATGATCCACTAGGGTGGATATCCAGATCGGAGAAATTTTTGAGGTTCAGAATGTCACTCCAAGGGTAAAGTTACATTTGGCTTTCATCAACATGGAGGGGAATGTGAGTCACTGGCTTAAATTTTGGTGACAAAAGTCCAAGAATCCATCTTGGGAATAATTGACAACCACGTTGAATAGGAGATTTGGGGACAGGGACCGAAGTATAACATTTGAAAGGTTAGCACTAATAAGACAAAAATGATAAGGTGGAATATATCTAAGAATTTGAATTGTTGGTATCACAAATTTCGCAAATTTCTGACTAGCAGTTGCAAGGATATTTTCTTGCAGGGTTAGTGAACAAAATACAAAATCAAATTAGACTACATGATCCTAAACATTTGATTAAGGGCATGGAAATTGCGCGCGATGTGGAAGATTATATGAAAGACGCCAGACCAAGCGAAGGAATGTCGTATTGAAATAACAATTCCAACTTTTGATATCAAGGAGGAACGTGAATAGTGTCATGTGCAAAAACTTTGAAAGGATCGAAAATTCATAGGTTTCCTCTTGTAGTGACAATTTCGTTAGAACAGAATTGAATGATACAACATACAACTCCAAGATAATAGGAAATTTGGCCGTGAGTACGAGGAACTGAGGATCAAGAAGCCTTCCTTACCCTGAATATGTTAAAAGAAGAGGAGGGAAGGTGTTTTCACTGTGGAGCGGCATACAGTCATGGACATCGTTGCCATGAAAAGAACTTGTGGATTATTATCCTAGTAGAAGAAGAGGGATATGGAGAAGTTGGAGGAGTGAAAAGAAGGGAGAATGAGGTGTATTTGGATAGTGGAGAAGAAGAATTTGATGGTTTTGAACATCAGCGTATGGAATTGTCTCTTTTTTCAGTAGGTGGTTTGACACAATCCAACACTATGAAGCTACAAGGAATAATGAAGGGAAGACCAATGTTGATATTAATAAATAGTGGAGCAAGCCATAATTTTGTCTTGTCTAAGATGGTAACTATCCTTGGTTAGCATGTGGAAACAACTCCATCTTACTGTGTATGATTAGGTGATGGACATAAAAAACATACAATGTGTAGCTAGAAAAGTATGTAATTAAAGAGACCTTTTTCTTATTTGACTTAGGAGGGGTGAATTTGATTTTAGGGGTAGCTTGGTTAGCTACTTTGGGAGACGTTAATTATGAGTTACAAGACACAAGGTCAACAGATTCAGATCAAAGGAGATCCGACTCTAGTGAAAACGTTAATAACCCTACAAGCATTGATGAAAGAAATAAAAATCGAAGTTGTGTCAATATTATGGGATGTAAGGGTCACAGAACAAAAGGCGGGGAATGATCTGACAAATGTGTTAACAAAGAATCAACAAGCAGAACTGGATTTAGTGCTGATGGAATGTAAGAAGCTTTTAAGGAACCTCAAGAACTGCCACCTCGTAGAGAAGTAGATCACAAAATCCTAATCAAGTTCGGAGTAGATCCTATAAATGTGAGACCTTACAGATACCCCTCACTTGTTCAAAACATAGATTGAGAAACAAGGGAAATGTTGAGATTAGTGATCATCAGGCCGAGTAATAGTCCTTATTCTATTCCAGTTATTGTAGTCAAGTAAAAAAATGAGAGTTAGAGGTTTTGTGTAGATTATGGAGAACTGAATAAGGCAACAATCCCTGACAAATTTCCAATTATGGCCATAGAAGAATTACTTGACGAGTTGCATGGAGCTCTTTTCTTTTCAAAAGTGGATTTGATGGCAGGTTATCATCAAATCTGCATGCAGGATTTAGATATTTAGAAGACAACTTTTTGAACACATCATGGGTATTATGAATCTTTGGTGATGCCATTTGGATTAACAAACGCACCAGCTACATTCCAATGCGCCATGAACACAATTCTGCACCCATGTCTAAGGAAGTTTGTTCTAGTTTTTTTTTTTTATGACATACTGATTTACAACAAGAGCTGGGAAGAACATTTGGCACAACTGAAACAGGTTATAGGAATGTTACAACAACACCAATTTTATGCAAGTCAGAAGAAATGCGAGTTTGGAAAACAGGAAGTGAAATATTTGGGTCATGTTAACAATGCCAAATTTCCACCAACCTTTTTGTATAGAATGTGGTGCGTTCGGAAAAGGAATAGGTGAAGTGCTGTTTCAAACTAAAAAACCTATAGCTTTCTTCAGCAAGACTTTGGCAGACTCGTCCTTGCCAAAGTTGATCTATGAAAAAGAACTAATAGCTTTGGTGCTAGCCATTCAACATTGGAGATCCTATCTTCTTGGTTAGAAATTTATAGTCTATACAGATCAAAAGAGTATGAAGTATTTGTTGGAACAAAGAATCACTACTCAAAATCAACAAAATTGGTTGGCAAAATTATTGGGATATGAATTTGAAATCTATACAAGCTGGGTACCTCTTACAAAGTGGTAAATGCTTTATCACGCAAATTTGATGATTCAAATGAAGAGAATCTAGAATTGTATGTGTTAACAAGACCCTTCTAGCACAACTTTCAACTAGTGGATGATGAAGTGAGATCAGATCCAGTCCTACAAACAATTAGAGAGAAGTTACAAGCAAATCGAGAGTCACATACTCATTATACGCTAGAGAATGAACGATTGCATTATAAAGGGAGCATGGTGTTATCTTTGACAACAACATGGATTCCCAAATCGCTCCAAGAATATCACATGACACCGACAAGGGGACATTTGGGAATTTTTTGCACCTACTTACGAATAGCCCAATCTTTATATTGGATTGGCATGAAGAAGACAATAAAAGAATTTGTGGCCACTTGTCTCATCTATCGACAAAATAAATATCAAGCTTCCTCACGTCAAGGTGTGGTCAAACCTTTGCCTATTTTCGGACATATGGGAAGATATAAGTTTGGATTTTATAGTAAACCTTCCTAAATCTAATGGTTATGATGCTATTTTGGTGGTGATGGATAGACTTAGCAAGTATTGCCATTTTATTCTTATCAAGCACCCTTATTCTACTAGAGCGATAGCAAAGATATTTGTTAAGGAAATGGTAAAGTTGCATGGAATACCTTCTTCTATCGTTAGTGACAAAGATCATAACTTTTTAAGTGTGTTTGGGAAAGAGTTATTCAGGTTACAAGGTGCAACTCTCAACATGAGTACTGCCTATCACCCAAAATCAGATGGGCAAACAGAAGTCTTAAACAAAACTTTGGAAACATATCTATGTTTTCTTAGCTCTAAGCAGCCTAAAACTTGGGCAACTTTCATTCCTTGGGCAGAATACTGGTATATCACCAATTTTGTAGGGGTGGCGAAATGCACACCTTTTGAAGCAGTTTATGGGAGATCTCCACCTTCTTTAGTCAAGTTTGCACTAGGAGAAACGACAGTGGAGGCTGTAGCTTAGAATTTAATGACTAGAGATGAAGTTCTCAAGTTTCACTTGAATAGAGCTCAGGCACATATGGTCCAATTTGCAAACCATTACAGAAGACCATCACTGATCAAAGTTGGAGATTGGATGTACCTAAAATTCGTCCTCATAGATAGACTTCCATGCCAAAATGTTTACATCCAAACTGTCAGCAAGATACTACGGTCCCTTTGTGGTCCTCAAGCAATTTGGACCGATGGCTTTTTGGCTACAACTTCCTGAAAATTCTTGCATCCATCCAGTTTTTCATGTCTCTCAATTGAAGTTGGCTGTTGGAACTTATCATGTTGAAGAAGAGCTTTCAAAGGAATTACAGGGACACGTTTCAGTTTGTTGTCCAAGGCAGATTTTGGACAAAAGTACTATACAACACCGAGGAGTACCACTACAACAAGTGTTGGTACAATGACAAGAAGGGGGTCCCAAGACAGTTACATGGGAAGACATTTCTATGATTAAAGATAAATTTCCAGAATTCAACCTTGAGGACAAGATTGTTTCTGCTGTGGAGTGTAATGATAAGCACGAAAATAAGGAGAGGAAATGGAATGTATATCATAAAAGAAAATTTACTAATTAAAGGTTGTTAGGAAAGTAGTTGTGTTGATAGAGGCGACTTTCTGAGAATGTCTTTATATAGTTGCGTTAAGTGGTTGGGAGAGGATGTTTTTTGGAGTTTTTGAGAGAGATAACAGGGAATTGCTTTGTGAGAAAGGAAATACCATCCTTTGTATGTTGGGATCTTGGTTTCATTTATACTTGCTTTGGAAATAATATCACGAGGAATATTCAGTGTACATGGAGTTTGGTTTTGTCCTTTATTTTCTAATGAAGAACCTAACAAAATAACTCGATATTAATGTGCTGTAATGTTCTGGAGCGTGTCAAAGTAAGCTTTTTATCTACTCTGTTTTAGGACATAATTTTCCTTTTCGCCTCCTGTGCTTGGTTACAAAGGTCTCCCTTGTCTCTAGCAAATAATACGTGAAGTTATTAGTGAGCTTTATTCTCTGACATGTTTGCTTGATTTTTTTATTTTTTTATTTTTTTGTGCCTCTGCTAATGAGGATTTCTTTTCTTCTCATACTCTCTTTATATTCTTATTTCGATTATTACTTTTTTTTCAAACATTTGTCAAATTAAATTTCATATGCTGCATAGTTTTGTTGAAAATTTCTTTAGGGTGTCTTATATAGAAATTTACAATGTACATGACCATTGAATTTGCAGGAGGTCTCCACCCCTGTCCCAAGGCTCACAAGGGAGTTGTCTACGCAATTCAGTGACTTCAATATACTCTCTTCTTTGAACTCTCAGGTGAAGAAACCTATTTTAGTTCTTTGTCAGTCAACATAAGATGACTTTCAACTACTACACTCAATTTATGATACACTTGGACTGCACTATAATTGTTGTAATGATTATTCTTTCCAAAATATATTTTACTTTTTATTACTCTTTTTTCTTGGAAATTCTTTTTCATGTTCAATTATGAGAGTGCAAGTTTTATTCTATTGCTATGTAAGCTTTGATGCTGTTTCATTCTGTATTTTGTTAGTACCTAAACATTTATTTGGTTTCTTTCTGCATTTTTCTGTTGGGAATATAAGCCAGTTGATCTAACCTCTTATTACTTTCTGTTTGAAAGCTGTTTGAGAGCTCTGCCCTGATGAATGTATCTGCTGTAAAGTCTCTTCTCTGTGCATTATGTCAACTTTCACATCAATGCATGTCCGGTACTTCAAGCAGTTTGGGACCAACAACTAGTCAAAAAATTGGAAGCATCAGCTTTTCAGTGGAAAGAATGATATCCATCCTTGTGAATAATGTTCACAGTATGTAGCTTCAATAACTCTAAACATGATAGTAAATCTTTTATGTTTTATGTTGTTTAATTTGTCATCCTCAAGTTGTGTTTTTTTTTTCCCTCCAAAGTAGATACTTGTGAGTTGTGAAATTTTAGGTTCTATCTTATTTGTGTTTTATGAATATTCATTCTTGATATTTTTGTTGAGTGAAGGTATTAAAATTTTATATTGTCCTTTTTCACCACAGGAGTTGAGCCATTCTGGGATCAAGTTACTTGTCACTTTCTTGAGGTTTCCTTTATTCTCTTACTGTTTCCTTTATGTTGCAATGGAAGTTTCATTTTCATCCCACTTGATACTTTGACATACTTTTGCAGCTAGCTGATAATTCTAATCCACATTTGAAAAACATGGCACTTGATGCACTTGATCAGTCTATTTCTGCAGTCTTAGGTTCTGATAGATTTCAAGACTACAAACAATCGAAGTCTCTTGAAACATCAGAGGAAGTGAGAACCTAACATTTTTATAGCTAACAATCCATAATTTATTAAAAAAAATGACTTAATGTGGGTGTGTCCTCTATATGCAGATGGAAGTCAATCTCAGTAAGTTGAGGTCTCTTGAATGTTCTGTCATATCTCCACTAAAGGTTCTTTATTTTTCTACTCAAAGTGTAGATATTCGTGTTGGATCTTTGAAAATTCTTTTGCATCTCTTAGAGGTAACGCTTTTGCTAATTGGTCGAGTTTTGTTGTTATTTCTATTTCCTCATTGTTTCTTGAGATGATACTAATTTGTACGAATTCTTCCAGAGATATGGAGAAAAACTTCATTACAGCTGGCCTAATATACTTGAAATGTTGAGGTTGGCTTTTATATGCCCTTAATGTACTTCTTTATTGTAATCCTTTGGTTAATCTATATACCATTCCATTGTCTTACTATAAGGTATGTAGCAGATGTTTCGGAGAAAGATATTGTTACTCTTGGCTTCCAGGTATACTGAGTTTGCAGCATTTTTTGCTCCAATAGAGCTATTGGCATATTGAGTTGACTATTAGCATTTCTTTAGTTACTTGTGATCCTGATTCTGGAAAGTACTCATTATTAAATGGTGACAAGACATAACTTATTGTTTCCTATATTGCTTGTCTGTCTAGGCTCTCTTATTCTATTTACTAGTGCATTTTCCTTCAAATTTTCTCTCTGAACTTGTAAACATTTAATTTATAGCTTTTAGATTAAATTATTTATACCTTCCTTTCATTTATTTTCCTCTTCTTTTTTCAACAAAAATTGATAAGCAAAAGTATCACAAAAAATATTAGAATCCCATCTAGGACGGCACCCCAATACTTGACAATCATCTGCAGCACATCATATAACCATTCAAAATATAGAAAATACAAAAAAATGTTGGGGGACCGAGCCTTACCTACTAGCTTTGCAACATATCTATAATTATGCAATTGGAACCTCCTTACAAGGAAATTCCATTTATTTTCCTCATTTTCCACATACCTTACACAAACCTCCTTGATTTTTTCCGTATTTGTCACTAACTTTTGTTTTTTAAAATCTCCATTCCATTTATAAAATTCCGGTATGAGGGACAGTTTGTTGTTGGTTTTTTGATGCCTTTATTTTTTTTTTTTTTTTTAATCTGTGATTACACATGACTCAGCAAGTTGAATTGGTTAAAATTACTATAAATGGGTTATGAATTCTACATCTAAAGAAACAAATATCATCATTTGAGCTCTTCCTTGATTTGTGTTAGTTGGATTTCGTCCTTTGTATTTATTTATTTATAGATCTTAGCAGGCAAGTATGGTTTTATTTTCTTTTGGAGGCTTTGACTTATATTTCTCTATATATCCTATGTACGAAACTCCTATGTACTTTTGATTCATCTTTTTTCTTTTTAAACTATTACATAAAAGCAATTGTGGGCACACACATCATCATCATGATTTTTTTGTTATATATGGCATTTTTAAGGCATGAATTTAATATTCATATGTTTTGTATGGAACATTCAAATCAAGAATCTAATGTCATTTGATCAGTGCATGCCTTCTATGTGTTTGATATGTTTAAGTTCTTATTACTTTATAATACACAAATTCAGGAATGATTTCAAATTATCATCTGTTATGAATTTATTCCATAACTCTCATATTGATTTAATCTCTTAGTCACGATGTATCCATGTCTTGAATCTCATTTTTTATGCTTCATGCTTACTTTAATTTTAAGTAAGACATGCTGTTGCTTCATATTTGATCCAATGATCATATGCACCATTTCTTTAAGAAAGTTTTCAGTATTATTCTTTCTCTGTAACATTACCATATGTACTAATTTTCCTGATTTTGTTTCTTTCAATAGAACCTAAGAGTGATAATGAATGATGGACTGTCCACCTTACCTGCAGACTGCCTTCAAGTGTGAGATCTCATGTTCCACCTTACCTGCATGCGTACTGCATGCATGTGTATACATGATTTCTTTAATTTTTGGATTTTATAGGGGGCTGCAATTGTCAGAAAGAAATAAGATTTGGTGTTACTCATTGAATGTTGTTGTCAAGATCTCACATTGACTATAGACATAACCAAACGAAAGCTTATAAAGGCTTTGAGTTAGGCCTAGCCCAAATTTAAGATGGTATTATAGCTTATCATAGATATTGACCATCCCTAACTGTCAAAAATCTACCTGGTCCCACAGCTTTCCTAGTGGATACCTCCGCCCTTCAGATGTTAAATCCTGGGTTTGAGGGATCTATGTTGAATTAAGCCTAGCCCAAATTCTAAAGTTGTATTAATGCTACACATACTTACCAGCGTGCATGTCTATCTACTCTGCACACAAATATACATGTTTTCTCCTAGCCTAGCTCTTTCTGTTGTCTAATATGTATTATTACATATATTACAGGTGTGTTGATGTGACCGGAGCATACAGTGCTCAGAAGACCGAGTTGAACATAAGCTTGACAGCAGTTGGACTTCTGTGGACTATGACTGATTTCATTGCAAAGGGCCTTCTAATTGGACCTTTTGAAGAAAAGGCAACAGGTTCATATTTTGTTGTCAAGCCTTCTGTTTTTAACCTGTCATTGTTCGGAACTTATACCATGTTTTCTATCACGGATCTACCTTTCAGGTGTCAGTTCCATAGTGAAGCAGGTAGACAACGAAAACATGGAGGATCAAACACGTATTTCTAATAATGTGAGAGACCAGGCTTCTTCTATAGGTGGTGTTGATTTTGAGAAGCTTCTCTTCTCTGTTTTCTCATTACTTCAAAACCTTGGGGCAGATGAGAGACCAGAGGTACAACTTATAAATTTCTAATATTGTTTTACGTTTTAATTTTCCACTCTTTTTTTTTTTTTTTTCCTACCAGGAAGGACTTCCTGAAACATTTCTTATGTGGTGAGATGGATATCCCTGTTGCCATTTTTCTATTTAGCAATTAATAGAATAATAGAGAAAAAGAGTACCTCTTGCTTGTAAACTAAGGGATCTCTTGCTTGTAAAACCTTTTTCAGAATATTTTTTCCTCTTCTTTTGATATTGAACCCTTTTAGCAATTGAGTTTCATTGAGAGTAACGTTTATGTGCATATGAATCTCTTCTCATTCTCTGTCTGTCTCTTTCTATTTTTCTTACCCGCCCCTTCTTTTAAAACCTTGGTATCACCATTCAGTTTTTGATACACTTCGAAGCATTACTTAGAAAGACAATTGCTTCCTTGCTGTAATTTGATATAAGCAGTGTCAGAATTATATGTTAGAATCATATAGATATAATAACTAATGATATTAGGATAAATTAGGAGAGAAAGGAGAGACAGGCAGAGTGGGACGAACCCACTTTGATACCAACTTGAAATAGATAATAGGAAAATAAAAGATGTTTTTGAGAGCTAGTTCTTTTCTCTTGTGTTCTCTTATTTATAGGGGATAAAGATACAGATTATGAGATACAATAAATAGGGGGAAATGATTAAACCTAGAGAAGATAAACAGATACATTCTAGGAACTAGGTCAATAGTTAGATACAACTAATCTAATAAATACTCAACACTCCCCCTCAAGCTAGAGCATACAAATTGTATATACCAAGCTTGGAACATATGAATTTAATTTGAGACCCTCTCAAAGATTTTGTTAATGCGTCTGCAAGCTGATCATTGGAACCAACAAACTCCATACAAATTTCTTTAGACAACAACTTCTTCCGAACAAAGTGACAGTCCATCTCAATATGCTTAGTCTTCTCATGAAACACTGGGTTGGAAACAATGTGGAGAGCAGCTTGATTATCACAATACATCTTCATAGGTTGAATCTCACTAAAGTTCAGTTCTTGCAAGAACTGTTTACCCATACAAGTTCATAAGTGAGAGACGTCATTGCTCTATATTCAGCTTCAGCAGAGGATCGGGCAACAACGTTTTGCTTTTTGCTTTTCCATGAAATGATATTACCTCCAAGGAAAACACAATAGTCTGTAGTGGATCGCCTGTCCATAGGAGATACAGCCCAATTAGCATCACAGTACAAATAAATTTGGTTATTTCCCTTATCTTCATATAACAAACCTTGTTCTGGAGCTCTTTTAATGTATCTTAGGATTCGAATGATAGCATTCCAATGATAAACACAAAGGGTTTGCATAAATTGGTTGACAACACCAACTGCAAACGACAAATCAAGTCTAGTAATAGTCAGATAGATAAGTTTCTCAACCAGTCTTCTATATCTTTCTGGGTCAGAGAAAGCTTCACCTTGTCCTGCCATTAATTTTCAATTTGGGTCCATAGGGCTGTCCACAGGATTGCAATCAATCATACCTGTCTCTTTTAGAATACCTGTCTCTTTTAGAATATCTAGAGCATATTTCCTTTAAGAAATGACAACACCTTCTCTTGATTGAGCCATTTCAATACCTAAGAAATATTTTAGATTTCCAAGATCCTTGGTTTGAAAATGACTACACAAGTGCTCTTTTAGTTGAGATATTCTAGCAGCATCATTTCCTATGATGACAATATCATCAATGTACACAATTAAATAAACATGTTTGCCAGGGGCAGTGTGACAATAAAACATTGAATGATCTGTTTCAATTCGTTTTAATTCAAAAGCTTGAACAATAGAGCTGAATTTTCTAAACCAAACACGTGGAGACTGTTTTAGGCTATAAAGAGATCGACATAATTTACAAACCATATCAGACTCACCCTAAGCAACAAATCCAGGAGGTTGCTCCATGTAAACTTCTTCTAAGTTACCGTGCAAAAAAACATTTTTAATATCCAATTGATGAAGAGGCTAATGACGAATGGCAACCATGGCCAGGAACAAGCGAAAAGTGGTCATTTTGGCTATAGGAGAAAAAGTATCACAATAATCAAGTCCATATATATGAGTGTACCCTTTAGCCACTAACCTGGCTTTGAGACAATCAACTTGACCATTAGGCCCAACTTTAATAGCATAGATCTAATGACAACCAACTGTTTTCTTCCCCGAAGGGAGAGGAATCAGCTCCCATGTTTTGATGTAATCAAGAGCCTGCATTTCAGAAATCATGGTTTTTGCCATCCAATATGATCAAGTGTTTCTGCCACATTTTTAGGGATCGTAATAGTGGATACACAGAAGCAATAAAAGAAAAGTAAGGAGACAATCTATGATAGCTAAGAAAATTGTAAAGGGGATGAGGATTATGAGTGGAACGAGTACCTTTGCGAATGACAATGGGCCAACTGGAGTCATCGTTATCAGGAGCCGTGGTATTAGAAGATTGAGAAGGGCCTGTTATGGGCAGCTCATCTTGGGGAATGGGATTTCTCACTTGGTTCCTGCGTTGATGATAGGTGATGAGAGGCTGTGATGATGATTCTGGAGTATTTTGGTTAGGATTTGGGGTATCAGAAATAGGAGGTACAAATGACTCAACTAAGGGGATAGGAAGAACATGTTGGACATAATCAATATCCTGCACAGAAGAAGGGAAGAAGGGGGATGATTAAAAAAAAATGACATTAGCAAACATGTAGTACCTCTTGGTTTCAGGAGAATAGCACCGATATCCTTTTTGAAGACAAGAATATCCCAAAAAGACACATTTGATAGCTCTAGCTGAGAGTTTATCTAAGCCTAGAGACATATTATGAACAAAACAAATACATCCAAATACCCAAGGAGAAACATGAAAGTGTGGTTCCTTTGGAAATAGAATAGAGTGTGGAACTTTATTGTCAAGAGAAGAAGATGACATTCTATTAATGAGAAAGCATGCAGTTAGAATAGCATCTTCCCAATGATGAATAGGCATATTGGCACCAAGCAGTAAGGTACGAGAAGTTTCAACCAAATGTCTATTTTTCCGTTTTGCTATACCATTTTGCTATGGTGTATGATGACAATGGACTGGTGTAAAATGCCTTGAGAACTTAGGACGTCAGAGAAATCATTAGAAAAGTATTATTTAGCATCATCACTTCGTAAAACTTTGATTACTTTTCCAAATTGAGTTTTGATTTCATTAAGGAAAGACTTAAAGATAGACAATAGTTCTGAGCGATCTTTTATTAGATAAACCCAAGTACATCTACAAAACCCATCAATAAAAGAAACAAAATATTTAAAGCCAAAAGATGAAACACGACTAGGTCCCCAAATATCTGAATGAACAATACTAAAAGCAGAATCACATCTAGATTCAAAATGATTTGGAAAAGATGATCTGGTATGTTTTCCTAGTTGACATGATTCACATTCAAAAGTTTGAAGGTTCTGAAATTCAGGAACCATTTTTTTCAGTTTTGCCAAATGAGGATATCCTAATCGCTCATGTAACAGTTTTGGGGATAAGGAAGCAACACAAGATATAGATAAATTAGTCCCAAGGTAATATAAGCTCAGATTCATGTCCTTCTCCAATCAGTCGACCTGTACCACGTTTCTGTATAACAAAATAATTGACGTTAAACAATTCAATGATTTGGTTAATTGGCTTACGAAGACAAGACTGAATGAAAAATAAGGACCACAAAGAACATTTTGTAAGTTTAAAGAAGGAGAGATGGATACTTGACCAATCCCTTTAGAGGCTACTTTAGATCCATTGGCTAAAAATATGAGATGGGAGGTTTTAGGAAATGATAGAGAGGAGAATAAAGAGGTATTACCAGACATGTGGTCAGAAGCACCTGAGTCAATAATCCTCAGATTTTGACTTTCCACATATTGTGAAATGCAAGCGGTTGACGAATGTGGAGTTGTAGATGCCTGAGCTAGACTAGTTGATTTCATCCTTAAATATTCTTGATACTCTTCATAAGAGAACTTGGGCTCAACAATTTCAGATTTTGAAGTATTGGTTGTCTTATCAGGATAGCTATGCAGAGCAAAGCTTTTCCTTAGTATGACTCATTCTTTTGCAATGAGTGCACTGAGGACGTCCTCTACCACCACGTCCTCTATTGCCGTGATTACCTCTTCCACGAGCAGAAATCATGGCGGAAGATTCAACAAGTTCTTGATTATTTTTACCTTTGATAGATGGAACACGAAGTAGCCTTGTGACCAAACTCTTCATAGAAGGAACTTCTTGTTCAATTAAAATTTGATCTCTAACATGATTAAATTCTGGATTCATAGCCCTAAGAATCATAACCATATAGAATTTATCCAGCTTCGTCGTTTTTTCCTCTAATGAATCTGCCTCAAGGAACATTTTTAATTCTTCAACTGCTGATTGAGCTTCAGCAACAAAGGACATCATATTATTATCCTCTTGCTTAAGGGAAGCTAGTCTATTAGCAGAATCATAGAGCCGTTGCATATCATTAGCAAAGATATTTTGGGCCTTTTTTCAGAAGGAATTACATGTCTTGAAGGATCAGAGAGTGCTCTAAATATTTGGTTCAACTTATTGCCATAATAGAGCAAAGAGTTGATAATCAAATTTCTTCCATTGAGGAGCCTGATCTGCTGGTTTTGTACTTCCATCGTCTTCTAGATAATCATGAACCCCTTGTCCTAGAAACCAGAATTCAACAAAGGAGACCCAAGACAAGTAATTTTTTCTATTTAATTTTTTTGTTATTATAGCAGGAGTCCCTGAAAAAGATACAAATGTTGCAAGTCCTGACATTTTTATTCAGGATACAAGAGAAGACTCAAAAAAAATATCCAGCAGGATGTTTGGAGAGAGAAGACCGAGAGCAATGAGAGAGGACCAAGAAACAGTGTTGCTTTGCTTGAACACAGAACAACTAGCGTTCTGTGATAGTGTATACGAAAGGGGTTACCAAACTTTTGGAACATAAAACAAAGGGTAGATCCGGCTTCATGACGACGAGGCGAGCCAGATGGCGGTGGTCTCGAGCAAAACAGCCACCAGGAAGGCGGCGCATGAACCACACACGTGAAGGAAGCAGCGGACGAAGGTGGCGCGTGGCGGCGCGTCTAACAGAGATGGTTGAAGCGACCATCGAGGTTGGGGTCGCGCTCCTCTAGGCGATCCTAACCCAAGTACGGTGAGTGAAACGACATTGGGGGACGATGATGCCAACGACGGACGGTGGTGAACGATGGAGAAAAAGGAGAGACAAGCAGAGCGGGACGAACCTGTTCTGATACCAACTTGAAATAGATAATAGGAAAATAAAAAGATGTCTTTGAGAGCTAATTCTTTTCTCTTGTGTTCTCTTATTTATAAGAGATAAAGATACATATTCCGAGATATAATAAATAAAGAAAAATGATTAAACTTAGAAAAGATAAACGAGATACATTCTAAGAACTAGGTCAATAATTAGATACAACTAATCTAATAAATACTCAACAGAATCATATAGATATAATAACTAATGATATCAGGATCAATTAGATCGATTCTATAAATATGTTATTGGCCTAAAAGGATAATTGAATATTTTGTAATTATATTCTCTCTAATTTAATAGCTCTGTTGTGGTCTAAAAACATATGGAATTCATTATATTTTCCTTGGTTTCTTTCGTTTGACATGTTTCGAGAGTGATATCATCCTTTAAACGTATTATGAGAGCCTAATGAGAAGGGAACCCAAGCCCGTGTTTTCCATGTGTGCCCATTGCTCCTGTTTGTAATTTTTTTAGAAATTGTGTACATTTCTCGATTTTTATTTTTGTTCCTTGCCATATATTGTTCATTGGTGACAAGTAACTATTCACCGCCGACATTTTTCTGGTAGTTACTATTTATGTGACCAAGAAAGAGAGTTGTAACTACAAAAACTTTCAAGACATATTCTTGAATGACTTTATTACTAAGAAAATTGTTCTGCCAATATAGTGGATAACAGTAACAGGATACAACAATTGATGATCTTTCGAGAGGACCTCACTCTCCAAAAACTCCTTTCCTTCTTAGAAAAGACTAATTACCCTCTTTCCAACAAAACCTTGACTATTTATAATAATCAAGTACATTGAAAAACATCTCCAGAAGGTTATAACTATCACATTCTGTTATTCCTCCTTTTATACACAATTCCAAACCTATCAGCCCACACCTGAACCTTTCCCATTAGGGTGTCAAGCTTCCAAACCAAAAAAAAAAAAAGAGAGAAGAGAAAGAAAGGGTGCACATGGTTAGGTAGGGGGAGTAGGTTTGGCGGTAGAGGAATGGGAATGAGTTTATGAAATATATATACTTTTTTAAATAGAAGTTGAACTATAGTTTATTATCTCGTGGGTTTAATGATAATATATTATTTAAAAAAATAATTATATTATTAATTAATTAAAAACTTTTAGATGGATATTTTATAAAGTCAATCTTATTATTCAAGTTAAATATAATTATTATGAATGATACATTTTTTATAATTTAGTATTTTATTAGGTTATTTTTATAATTTTTTAAAAAAGTGATTAGATATTTATTTTATTTTTCATTTGAGTTAAGATTTTATTGGTATATTTTTTTCTTTTTCATTTATAATGAGTTTAGTTTGATTAAATATATTAGAGTGTGGTGACTTGATATATATATATATATATATATATATATATATATATATATATATATATATATATATATATATATTACATAGGAGTAAAATCTATGATTCGTGTTACAATCCCACCTATAATCTCAATTTTCACTACCTTGATGGTCACAAGATCCCAAAAGTTTGATTTGTTTGGGAAATCTTGCGATATTTTTTATGTGTAACACATAGACATAAGGCCCCTTTCAACTAAATGCATGGACAATAGAAATGCCTATCTTACCTTATGCTGAAATTTAACTTTTATTTACAACAAAATGCAACAAGGATGAAACTCTTGATCATTGAGGCTTTAATTCCATTCTTGAATGAACTACCCCAAGAGCTTAAGCTATTGTGTGGAAGCACATGAATGGTTATATATATCTAATCCCAATGTTATATTTTCTTATATGACGGCATGCTTCATCTAGCGCTAGGTATTGGTGATGCTACGCAACTTTGTTTGGAAGGGAACATGCAACATTTCTCAGAATCATTCTTGAGAAGTGAGGAGACTTCATGCAATTGCATAAGTGTCAAGTTATATTCTTTTCCAGCTTGATAAAGCTATTAGAAATTGACTTCTTTATTGCAACATGTTTGTAATTTATTTTATCTCAGCTACTTAGAATGTAGTTACTATTAGATGTGATAGTTATATTGTGCATTTGTTGCCACGACAATGAATCATCTTAACGAAAGGTGAACACTGAAGATGAAGACTGGGTACTTGAAGTTTATTATCAAAAGTATGGGAGTTCTTTGATTGGAAATGGGTGGGGTGGGAAATAAGAATTTAAGGTTTAGAGGGTCTGTGTGAGAATAAGAGAGATTTGCAGATATGAGTATGAAATTAGGAGCAGTGACCATTCTGTGTGTGATTAGATTTCTGATTTTGATCGGTTTACCTTAAGGAAAGGAACAGCTATTGTTGAATTTTTGCTGCTGTCTTCTATAGAAAATGCAAGTGCTGATAAAATTAAAGAAATCACAATAACATAGCTGAAACCTAGGCCTCGTTCCAAGTGTCTCTTGTGCTTCACAACTGAGTTTTGTTGCATAATCAAGAGGGGATCATAAATCATTGCCTAATCAATATTCTCCCTAAGCATCCATTTAAATAAACCTTCGAACATCCATTGCTCTATAATAAAACTATACCAATTAAGGAAAATTAAAAAAACTTGTTAACTCTTAAATAATTTGCTCTCTAGTATTGCTGCTGGATGTTAAAGCTTGATGGAACTGAAACTTTTGTTTTGTAGGTGAGGAATTCTTCTGTCAGGACACTGTTCCAAACGTTAGGAACTCATGGCCAAAAGCTTTCGAAGAGCATGTGGGAAGATTGTCTTTGGAATTATGTATTTCCTACATTGGACCGTGCTGCTCATATGGTAAAGCTGAAACTACTGGAAGTTTAAATGAAAGCTTATTTTAATCATAAACTGACGTACTTTGAATTTGATTTTTGATAAGTAGGCTGCTACCTCGTCAAAGGATGAATCGCAGGGGAAAGAACTTGGAACTCGTGGAGGAAAAGCAGTTCATATGCTCATACATCATAGGTATTTTACATTGACTCTGTATTACATATCTTGTAGCCTTTGTGATACGTTTGTTTGAGAAGATGGGGAGAATGAAAGGTGGAGAAAAAAAGTAAGGGCAAACTAGAATTGACTGAACATAGTCTGGTGGAACGGTGTACATAATGCTGATTCCTGAAGTCCTGAACATACTACACTTCTTGTTTTCCATAATGAAATTGAAAAGAAATTAATTATATTAATGATAATGTCATAATATGAATTATGGCACTTTAACCTATAGTTTGGGCACACAAAAGTCTACCAATTTTCCTAACCCCACAATATATTCATTGACATTCTTCCTTAAATCGAAGACTTACTCTGCAAAAACAAGTTCTATCTACTAGTAGGAGCTTCACGTACAATTAGCAATTAACTAACAGACTCAACAAAGAACTTGTAGAAATCAATTAAAAACAATTTAACAAGCTTGACAGACCACAACATGCAAGGAAACCAGCATAGAAACTCTGGAAAATTAGATTAACTGAAATATGATTTTTATTATATCAATACAAAGAGATGATATAAGATATATACAGGAGACCTAAGCTATTTTAGGAAATATAATAACTCTATTTTATGCTAGGATCCCTTTATTTATGGGATTGTTCATAATTATTCAAATTTGTACAGATTACAAGGAAATATACAAATTTCCTAATTTATTCTTTCCTAAAATACTATTTGATTTCCCACACTCCCCCTCAAGCTGGTGAATAGATGTTTTCCATTCCTAGCTTGGATACAATCTTCTCAAAATTATGGCAGCCCAGTCCTTTGGTAAGAATGTCTGCAATTTGGTCTTGAGAGGACACATATGGAGTGCATATCAAACCACTATCAAGCTTTTCTTTGATGAAGTGTCTGTCTACTTCAATATGCTTTGTTCTATCATGCTGCACTGGGTTGTGGGCTATACTGATTGCTGACTTATTATCACAATAGAGCTTCATAGGTTCTTCCCACTTTATCCTCAAGTCTTCTAAGATGATTTTAAGCCATAGCAACTCACATATACCTTGTGCCATGGCTCGAATTCTCGCTTCAAGACCTGGATCGAGCCACTACACCCTCGCTTTTTGCTTCTCCAAGTCACAAGATTTCCTCCAAGAAAGGTGCAATATCCCGTAGTTGACCTCCTATCCACAATTGACCCCGCATAATCGGCATCGAGTATAGGCTTCAAGCTTCACATTACCATTCCTTTTGAATAGAATCCCTCTTCTTGGAGTTTCTTTAAGGTACTGTAAAATTCTGTGGGCAGCTTGTAAATGGGTCTCCTTTGGGCTATGCATAAATTGGCTAATTAAACTCACTGCATAGGCAATATCTGGCCTGATATGCGACAAATATATAAGTCTGCCCACTAATCTTTGGTACATATCTTTTTCAACATCATCTTCTGCATTTTCAAGCTTTAGGTTTGGTTCTAATGGGGTACTAGCAGGTTTGCAAGCTGCCTTGCTAGTTTTCTTGAGCAAATCAGTGATGTATTTCTGCTGAGATATAAATATCCCTTTCTCGGAGTGGGCAACTTCAATTCCCAAAAAATATTTTAGTTTTCCCAAGGTCTTGATCTCAAATTCCTTGTCTAAGCATTGACTCAATAATTGTTGTTCTTCTTTATTATCTCCAGTTAATATTATGTCATCCACATACACCAATAATATTGTTACTCCCCCTGACTTGGAATGTTTAAAAAACAAAGTATGGTCCCCTTGGCTTTATTTGTAACCCAGACCTGTCATAACTTTAGTAAACCGGCCAAACCATGCACGGGGGGACTGTTTTAACCCATATAATGCCTTTTTCAACTTACAAACAGTGTTGGCAGCAACATCTTTACCATATCCCGGAGGTAACTCCATATAAATTTCTTCTTCAAGGTCTCCATGTAGGAAAGCATTCTTAACATCAAATTGTTCCAAGTTCCAACCATAATTGGCAGCAAGGGACAATATCACCCTAACTGTGTTCATTTTGGCAACCGGAGCAAAGGTCTCCAAATAATCAACTCCATAGGTTTGGGTGAACCCTTTGGCAACTAGTCTTGCCTTATATCTCTCAATTGATCCATCAACCTTGTATTTCACTGTATAGACCCATTTGCATCCAACTGGCCTCTTTCCTATTGGTAAGGTGACTAACTCCCCGGTGTTGTTCTTCTCCAATGCCTCCATCTCTACATTCATGGTTTGCCTCCATTTTCTGTCAGACAATGCCTCAGATAGGGTATTAGGTAGAAGTGTAGTGTTTAGGTTTACTAGGAAGGTTTTATGGGTAGGAGAGAAATTTTTAAAGGACAGGTAATTTGAGAGAGGGTAGAGTGGTTGTTTGATGCATTTTCTTGTTCCTTTTCTAATGGCAATTGGGAGGTCAGGATCATTTTGGGTTTCAATTTCAACCTGCACAGCTGGAGAAAAAATTGTTACCTCTTTTTGTGGAGTCGAGTTGGATTCTTGAACATGGCTTGATCCTGGAATGGCCTTAGTCTTCCTTGAGTATACCAGCTTCTTACCAAATTTTCCAGCTTCAACATCTTATCCCATAAATCAAATAGTATTTTAGGAAAGAATAAATTAGGAAATTTGTATATTTCCTTGTAATCTGTACAAATTTGAATAATTAGGAACAATCCCATAAATCAAGGGATCCTAGCATAAAATAGAGTTATTATATTTCCTAAAATAGCTTAGGTCTCCTGTATATATCTTATATCATCTCTTTGTATTGATATAATAAAAATCATATTTCAGTTAATCTAATTTTCCAGATGGTATCAGAGCTTCCGATCTAGGAAGCTCTGTCTACGCTCGATAAACCCTAAGACGGCAGCCTGCATTGCTGCTGCATATTTCGTAACCCTAAGACGGCAGCCTGCATTGCTGCTGCATTTTTCTTAACCCTAAGACGGCAGCCTGCATTGCTGCTGCATTTTTCTTAATCCTAAGACGATAGCCTGCATTGTTGTTGCATCGCACCTTTTTGCTATAATGTCAAGAGAAGAGGAGATAGAAAAGGTGAAAACCGTTCTTAGTAAGCTGGAAAAACCTACATGTATGTGTTCTTTGGCATACTCAAGTAAGTTTCCACCTTCTTTTGGATTAAATGTCTCAAATACGCCTTTTAACCATTATTGGATATTGGACTCTGGAGCCACAGATCACATGACACCATTAGCCAAACACTTCTCCACATATTCCCCATGTCCCAGCAACAAGAAAATTGTCACAGCAGATGGAACCATTATAACTGCAGCTGGTCAAGGAAATATCCAAATCAATCCTTTAATAACCTTAAAAGATGTTCTCCATGTCCCAAAGTTATCCATGAACCTAGTGTCTATACAAAAACTTATAAAGGATTTGTCATGTAAAGTTGCTTTTTTCAACGATCATTGTGTATTTCAGGACAAGGATTCGGGGAGGATGATTGGACATGCTAGAGAATGGAATGACCTTTATTATCTCGAAGATCCAAGCCTGCCCAGCAAGAATAGAATCTCTCACTCCTTCATATCTGAATCCTTGATGACCAACAGAGAAAAAATCATGCTTTATCATTGTCGGTTGGGACATCCCTCTTTTGGAGTGATCAAAATTATGTTTCCCTCTCTGTTTACCAAGTTAGATGTTGAGAGTCTTCATTGTGAGGTGAGTGAACTTGCTAAGCACAAGCGTATATCTTTTCCAATAAGTAATAGAATTAGCAATGTCCCTTTCTATCTTGTTCATACTGATGTATGGGGACCTTCTAATATTCCAAATGTATCTGGTACTAGATGGTTTGTCACCTTTATAGATGACTGTACAAGGGTCACTTGGGTTTTCCTACTTAAACAAAAATCAGAAGTCAGTTCTGTCTTCCTAAACTTCCACTCCATGATAAAAAATCAGTTTGGTGTTAATATTAAGAGGCTTAGGTCAGATAATGCCAAAGATTACTTCAATCATGTCCTTAATTCTTTTTTTCAAAAAGAAGGTATAATTCATGAGTCCTCTTGTGTCAAAACACCACAACAGAATGGGGTCGCGGAGAGGAAAAATGGACAATTAAATCAGACTCGGGCATTGTTGTTCCAAAAAAGTGTCCCAAAAAATTTCTAGGGGGAAGCTGTCCTTGCAGCAACATACCTTATCAATAGACTACCCTCTAGAGTCTTAGGATCAAAAAGCCCTATGGAAGCTTTGTCGTCTTTCTATCCAAACTTGTCCACTACAAATAATGTTAAACCAAGAGTTTTTGGGTGCATCTCAATGTCCATATTCATAGTACAGACAAGGGGGAAACTTGATCCTAGAGCTTAAAGTGTCTTTGTTGGTTACTCACCCACTCAAAAAGGGTATAAATGCTACCACCCCCCATCCAAAAAATTCTGTGTGTCTAGGAATGTTACCTTCAATGAACAAGAGGGCTATTTCCATCAACCTTATCTTCAGGGGGAGAGTTTCAGGGAAGATAAGGAAAGTAGTAATTCTGGTTTTCCCATTCTTCCTTATCTTCCCTGAAACTCTCCCCTTTTTTTTTTTTTTGAATAATTAGGAACAATCCCATAAATCAAGGGATCCTAGCATAAAATAGAGTTATTATATTTCCTAAAATACTATTTGATTTCCCACATAAACTAACGAAAGGAGGGTAAAATAGATCTAATTACTTGTTCAGGTATAGGGAGACTGAAAATATATAGAGAAGTAGGGTTGAAAAACTCTGAAACAGTAAATATAACAATGACATCTGTGTCTTTGTTTATGCTGATATTATGACTGCATACACCTTTTAACTATACTGGACTGTAGTTAACTACTTCATTAATCACAAAAAATTTTCCAAAATCTTCTGATATATGCGTACATTCTATTAATTTTGCAGTCGCAACACAGCTCAGAAGCAGTGGGATGAAACTCTTGTGCTTGTTTTTGGTGGAATAGCACGTATATTACGGATGTTCTTTCCCTTTTTCACAAGCTTAAGTAACTTCTGGTCTGGTGGGTTCACTATTGAAAGATGATGTATCTGATATTTTCATTTGTTGTAATTTATGAACAATCATGATTTAATTTGTTCTATGTAGGATGGGAATCGTTGCTTCAATTTGTTGACAATAGCATTTTAAATGGTAGTAAAGAGGTAGCACTTGCAGCAATAAATTGTTTGCAGACAACTGTTAACTCCCATTCATCAAAGGTAGGGATATGATTTGAATCGGAGCTGATCTTCTGTTTGTAGATGAAGAATATGTGGCTGAATTTATCCTCAAACATCTTTGACTCTCTAGCTATGCTGCTTTTTAGAGTCTGTTTGGATAAATATCTCTAAATACACTTCTAGGAGAAGAAAAATGATCCTACGGCTAAAATTAGCTTATGCATTAGTTTATTTGTAATAATTATCTCATACAAGTTTTCCAAAAGCTTTTTTTTTTTTTTTTTAACTTGTGCATAATTTAATTTTAGGTTACAGAAAACTTTATTTCACTTTTCCTTATTATTTTCTTTTCCTATATGTGCTTTTGAAGAAGTTTGTCCAAATAAAATTTTAACCAATTAATAAATATAACAACCAACAAAGCTGAATTAGTTGAAATATAGTCATTTAAGTACTGACAGAAGTTCGTGAATTAGGGAAATATGCCAATGCCTTACCTTATTTCAGTAATTGATGTTTACGAGCTTGTTCTGAGAAAGCCAGCTAGTTACCTTGGCAATGCTGCTGATAAGGTGAAGCAGGAGATTTTGCATGGTCTTGGTAATATATTGACTTTCATTTAGTGAAGATTTTAATACTTTTGTATACATTGCTTATGGATTAACAGTCGTACTTTTAGGTTTCTATTTGTACCATACTAATCAAGTAACTTTAGAAAATGTTATTCAGATAAGACTGATCTTACTTAATATTTCGATCACATATCAGGAGAGCTTTATGTGCAAGCGCAAGGATTGTTCAATGATATTGTATACACACAATTGATAGCAATCATCGATTTGGCTGTGAAGCAAGAGATGTTAACTAATGATAACTTTGAAATGGAATTTGTAAGTCTATTTTCTATTAACCTTAATACTATTTCTTAATTGCTTTTTCTTATTCGTTTGTAAGTTGGAACTTCGAAGCGTTATTATTATCTTTTTGTTTTTCCAACAAAACTGGTAAATGCGAAGCAAACAACTGTCACATTTATGCTTTATATAGAGTACATGTTATATCAACGATGTGAACTCAAACCTTTTGTGTTCTTGGAAAAGTTAAATTAACAATGCAATCAAATTCTGTTGTCACTAAATTATAAGTGTTATGCTATTGATGCACCTTAAATTTTATACATGGTTAACAAGTTGTGAACTTTAACACATTTTGTATTTGTGATTGATTTCTTGTATATTTTCAAAATCTTCCTTTAGTTTTATTTGTATCCGTTGTGATTCTTTATACTAACATAGCAGCATAGTTGGTTGTAAAAACACTACAGGCATTCTTTGAAGTAGTAAAATTGAGTAACCCTGTGCATTGTCTACTTCTTTATTTAGTTCTTCACACAGTGGAACAAAAAGGAAAAAAATAATAATATATGGTTGTTACCAACAAAGAACCATTAGAAAAATTAACATAAGTTTAGGGTGTGTTTTCTTGATGACTTTTAGAGGTAGAGAAAATTATAACTGAAACTAACTGAATATGAACTGATTTCATCATGAATTGTTTTAAATGACACAAAGGAAGTCATTCATATATAGATGACAAAGCATGGCCAACTGACAAGGCCCACGCTCCAGCAGAAACTACTAGAACAATCTCAATAAATAGGAGAAGGTACATGTTATACAAATAACGCCAATATTGTAGTATGTCCCATCCCAAGTGACTTCGTATTCTTGTTTTAGATGAGCATTTAGTATCTCAAATCCTGTTTTTCTTTTCAAGATAAAATTGTCATCAACCAACTATGCAAACAACATAAACTATTAGCTGGAAACATATATGAATGACTTTTGTAGTGTCCAAATATGACTGAACCTTTACCGGCCTAAGTGGTTGGTACTCGGGCAACTTCAAAGGTGGCTTAAGGCCAAAGAAATTTCCTTTTTAAGGGATCATATCACGCTAAAATTATGCTTATAATCAAGGACTGTTATAGCAGATCCCATGCTCTGAGAATTTAACCATTAAAGGCGTATCACATTAAATCCTTTAGGCTCAAGCCCATAAGGATGGGACAAGGGGTGAATTGACCAATAATAGGGGCTTCTAAGGTTAGGTCTAAGTAGGTTTTTACTTCTTTGATACTAATTAAAAATTCCCAGTAATTTTTTGCTAGACCAACCTTACATCTGAGAAGGATCCTACAATGTTATTCAAAGAACCTATTTAATAGTTGTAGTTGTAATAGTTGAGAATAATGGATGGATTAGAAGAAGAATAAAGCTTGATAGAACTCTATCAGCGGATTTATTTAAATAAAGCTTGAAATACAAAATGTTGATAAGAAAACCTACACCCTAGGACCCTATATGATTGTAGGTTACAACAAAAATCAGCTTTACAAAGTATTATAGAAGACAATAATAAATTTCTTCTAACACTTCCCCTCAAGTCAAACTCATATATATTGTATACATGAAACTTGGAAGATATGATATGAACTCAATTCGAGTTTTCAAGGTGATCTTGAAATCCTTGACCAAGAAATTAAAGTTCAACAGATATAGACCAAGATAGGTAATTTTTTCCAAGGATATTGTGGGATTTCCAAAAGGAGAGACCAGTAGTCCAAAAACCGTTGTATATGGAGAACAAAGGATAGGATACCCCATAAGGAGGGAAAAAAGGATTGCACTATAAACCATAACTAATGGAGACTCAAAATGAAGGTTGAAAAAGAGTGTAGTCCAATGGAAGAAGCGTGGTGGTCTTCTAATCATTGAAGGGTGGCATGTTTACCTGTGGTGGTCTTCTAATCATTGAAAGGTGGCATGTTTACCCATGGTGGTCTTCTAATCATTGAAGGGTGGCATGTTTACCCATAATTGACTAAACCTTGCAGAAGGGCAACACGTGTGGAGATTGTTGCCTCAACAACAACCACAATTGTTTGTCACTTAACAAGACACACCAGCTCCGATGGTTGTTGAAGATAACAACTATTAGAAATGGAGAGGTACCTACCTCAATCCTACAAAATTGAGTTGTAAAGTGAGGTTTACACTTCAATATATATTATAAGTTAATCATATCTCTTGTTGATATGGACCTATACATCCCCTCATGTTGAGGAATAAACATCCTGAAATTGTAGAATTGAATATTAAGGGTGACAACATGTTTAATTGTAAAGTGAGGTTTACATAAGTTGTCTATTTTTCTAGTAGATGTCGGATATCCAACACTAACAATGGCCAGCGGTAGTGGACAGGGGCCGGAAGTAACAATTGGAAGTGGAAGACACCAAGCAGAGCAGAATTGGAACTTCAGTAATACCTAGTTGAGAATAATGGATTATGAGATTAATAAAGCTTGAGAGATCTCTCTCTTGGCTAATCTATCAAATAGAGAAAACCATCTGTGTCTTAAATACAAGAGATTGATAAGCAAAACCTACACCCTAGGACCTTTTATGATTGACAGGTTTCAGCAAAAAAGAAAGATTTACAAAGTATTGTAGTAGACAATAATAAACTTCTTGTAACAGTAGTATAATTTCATGTTTGGTAGAAACTTTCTTAATGTGATATTTCCATTTTTCTAGGGGAATGTCCCACCTGTGCTACGGACTATACTGGAAATCTTGCCACTCTTACGTCCAGCAGAGCACATTTCTTCTATGTGGTCTGTTCTTCTCCGAGAATTTCTGCGGTATCTTCCTAGGCAGGACTCTCATTTACAGAATGAGGATCGTAAAATAGATCAACCAAGAGGTTCTGACCTTATTTTGGTTATGGAAGTATCTGGTTGTATCTAAGCTAGTTTTCAGTTTTTTTCTGCAGTAAAAGTGTAAAATCTATGTTTGTGTTTGCAGAATATCAGGTTAAGTATGATGCACCTAATGGTGCTACTCCAATATCATCCAATGAAGTAGCAGCATCTCCAGGTTCTGGATCAACAGCAGCCATAACAGGAATTCCTAGTTACATATTTGCAGAAAAGTTAGTTCCCGTGCTGCTAGATCTATTCTTGCAGGCACCAGCAGTTGAAAAGTATATTATATACCCTGAAATTATTCAAAGTCTTGGAAGGTAGTAATTTCTTAATTAATCTATAGTTTTGTACTGCTCACTGTTCCAAGATATAACAAAAAAAAAAAATTGTAGTTGGAAAGGTTTGTATACTGTAGCCTCGAATTTATAGGTTATTATTGTACCTACAAAAAACAGAATTTTGAAAATGTTTAACTTGGAAACTGGGGAAAAGAAAAATGACTTGGTATGACATGCTTGAGATGAATGTTACTCTTCTGTGCTCCTGGAATTTCTTTCTGTAGGAAGGAATTCTTTTCTTTTTATAAAGAAAGGATTCTGAATATTTTTGTATAATTCCCAAAAGGTAGAGGCTCTAACAAAAATATATAACCTAATCCTAATAAATAAAAATACGGAAATATGGTAATACAATGTTGTCTAATAATTACATAACTGAATAAGGAAACTAATCGTGAGATAATCTAAAATAAAACATGTGGGATCCTTGGAAAGTGACATCTTTTTTGTCACTTTTTTTTTTTCTCATTTCCTTGTACTAGTTGCTTTCCATTATACACTTTCCCTTCAAGCGATCAAACCTTTAATGATTATGAAACTTCTACTCTCTTTGTTAGGCAATCTAGATGATTTCTCTCTGAAATATTTTAGATGTTGGACTGTAGATATCACAAGTACTAAACCAATATAGATCGGCCAGGCTGTCTTTTCTTTGCTGTTTGTGGCTTGTTGTTTAGGTATATTGTAAAAGTTTGACTCCTTAAATGATAAAATATGTTAAATGTTATCCTTGTGTAAAAGTGATACATATGCCACTGAAAATTTGCAAATTAAGTAATGAAATCCTTTACACATTCTCAAATAACAAATTCTATTTATGAGTAATATGTATTAAAATGTGGTTGTGGACATCTCAATCAACTAGCAAATGGTAAATGTAGTCCCTATGAGACTGGGCAGTCCTCTCCTTACAAGTTAGTTTTTGAGGTTAAGCTAGGCTCTATGTTCAAATTCTAAAATAGTGTCATAGTTTATCTTGGATTTGTTATTGTTTGCCTGTATTTGTCTAAGCTCTAAATATCTATTCCTGGGCGTGAGATAATGTTTTTGGGCCACCCGCATGAGAGGATGTGATCAGATCTCACATCAATTATAATGTGGCCAATGTAGTCTTTCTAAGGTTTGGAGAAATCATATCTTGTAAGCTGATTTTTGCAAGGACGAGTTAGGCCTAAAACTCAGCAACTTTTGAAGTTGTCCCTCCTAATCTTTACACTTGGATTATTTGATCAGCTCTTTTTTATGCTATAAAATATGCAACCCTAATTGGATTGAAGATATTCACCTGCTTGATGTACTTTTAATATATTCATTTTGTCTATAGATTCATCTGTATTATGCTGTAATAATATGTTAACTATTCAGGTGTATGACAACAAGAAGAGACAATCCGGATAGTGCACTTTGGAGGTTATCTGTCGAAGCGTTCAACTGTCTTCTTGTTGACTACATCACCAATATAACCAGTGGAGCTCCAGATTCAAACATTAGTAAACCTGTCAGAACACGAATATGGAAAGAAATTGCTGATGTTTATGAGATATTCCTTATTGGATATTGTGGACGAGCACTTCCTTCTAATTCCCTCTCAGCCGTGGTGCTAGAGGCTGATGAGTCCCTTGAGATGTCCATCTTAAATATTCTTGGTGACACAATCCTTAAGTTGCCAGTTGGCACACCTACAGATGTAAGTTCTCTGCCAATATGTAAGATACTTTACTATTATGAAGCTCGATAGGAATAGTTTGATATTTGACCACACATGGAGCTAGAAGCAAAAAAAAGTTGCACCATCAGAAATTTTCACGTTACTGTTAGACTACCTATTAAAGTGTACATTGATTGGGAAGGGTGCCAAGAGGATCATGGAACCAACATACCTAAGCAATGGTGGTAGGTTATAAGAAATTCCACTGCAGGAATAACATAACGTCTACATGGCAGAGAGAGAGAGGTTAGGAAAGGGGGATGAATATGAAACTCAAGATTTTTGGGGAGGGGCACAGTTTCTGAACGAGTATTTGGTAGGAAGGCTACATATAGTATCTTTTATTTTTCCTGCTTTGATACAGAGGAATGCTGTTTTTGGAGCTAGTCACTTGTTCCATAAGTATGCATCATTTTGTATAAGTCATATACCCATATCCTCAAAATAAATATAATTTATCTCAGCAATGATAATATGATATACTCACACTTCAAAATTTATCGGGAAAAAATTGCATTGCTGACTTTTGCATCATACCATAACGCCATTAAAAATGTTATTGAAAAAAAAAAATTCGATTCAGAAAATTCCTACCACATATGAAAAAGGAAAAATAGTTCTATTTATAAGTTTCAATCATATACTTTAATTTGACTGTATCAATAATAAATGTGAGATCTCCAATATACATTCTTAGCTTTATCAATAATGTCTCAAGTTTGAAGTTTGCAGGATTAGAAATTTGAGGGTGGTACAATTCAACCCACAATAGCAAGTGTCGTGATAAACTCAATAACAATCGTTAGGATATATTTGATATTATTAGAGTAGATAGACTGAAAACATTTTTACTTTTTAGTCTATCTAATCTATTAGATACCATCTTAGAATTTGGGCTTAAATCTAATTCAACCTTACAAATTTAGCTTGAAAGTTAAGTATTATCTTCCACTTGTATACATTTTGGTCATGTCACTTATTAATAGGAGATTGATCTAGAGAAACTAACATGGAAATTATCTATTCGATAAATAATTAGTTATATTTGGTTTATTGGACCTAGCTCTATTCTTTAATAACGGCCCATCCCTTCTTCTGCATGACTTGTTTAGTTTGCTGCTATTGGTACTGAAGCTGCTTGCTTAGTTTGCTGCAAAAGTCACCGAATTGGACTTGTCTTACGATTTTCTTGCTCTCTAGAATATGTACTCTTGTTATTGTTGGACATTTAACTTTTCCTTTTTAGTCTTTGTGGGAGGAAAATGAGAACAGAGATTTGAAATGGTATATTCTTGTTATTGTGATGTTTTTGTATATAACAAATATCTTTATCTAGACTAATATCCTAACCAAATAAGTAACAATTATGAAATATGAGAACATATGGAAACGAATAAGCTAATCCTAAAACACAATCTTAGATACTCTAAAATATTCAAAATAACGAAGATTACTGTTGGATGCTTTTCATATGTTCTAACAATGTGCACGTTCTCAGATTCTGCAGCGACTGGTCTCCACACTGGACCGTTGTGCATCACGCACATGTTCATTACCTGTTGAGACTGTAGAGCTTATGCCTCCTCACTGCAGCAGATTTTCCTTGACTTGTTTACAGAAGTTATTTTCTTTGAGCAGGTGCCATCCTTTGAAAGCTTATTTAATTCGTCTTAGAAATCTTTCCATGAATAATATCTGAATTCTGAACACAAAGTATCTTGATGTCATTGTTATATCTCTTCTGTGAGATGGTGTACAGGTCATGGATGCTTCTTGTACTCTACCTTTATCATGCATTTTTGTTTACAGTTGCCTGCTTTCTCTGGAAATTTTTTGTAGTAAATTAACAATTTAAATAGTCTCATTAAAGAAAGATATTCTGAATTATATGGGTTCTTGATTGGTAACTCGTGCTGGATCATTGTAATAGAGATCTGAATAGGCACTATTCGATTCCTAAATTTCTTTGATCTCAAGTCCTTATTTTTCTCTTTGGTTTTTAGTTTTTACTAAATATATTAACTTTATATGTTGACCAATTTATATAATGTTTTATTAGTTATTCTAATGAAGTCAATTGGAATATGACAAGATCTGAAGTCAGCAAAATCTCAATTATAATGCTACTGACCAGATGTGAATACATCTTGAGCAGGTTTCTGACAGATGAAAATGCGTTAGGTATGCTATTTTTATGAAAGATAATCAATATCGCATGGAATCTTCATTTCACCTCCCACTTTTTGCCTACTTAACTACTTTCTTTTCCCTGCAGGTGACTGTCCATTACCAAAAGCAAGACTTGAAGAAATTGTTTATGTTCTCCAAGAACTGGCACATCTTGTAATTCATGCAGATGCAGCATCCGTTCTCCCTTTACACCCATTGCTGAGAAGTGGCCTAGCAGAAGACAAGGAGAAGCATAACCGTCCCCATCTGTTTGTGCTATTACCTTCCTTTTGTGAGCTTGTTACATCAAGGTAAAGTAACATAAATGTGAGTTACCATGCTATTAGATATATATATATATATATATATATATATATATATATATATATATATATATATACATGAACATCTCAACAATGTAGTCACCTCCATGCAGACCAATCTTCTATATCATGCCAAAATTTTACACCATGCTTAATATTCGGCATGCACAACTGTGGAATCTTTGTGCTAGTGGATTTACGTGAGTTGGTTAGAGATTGGAAATGGACTTTCATGATATTCTTTGATGTTCTATTTTCTTACCCTCAAACTCTATTTTTCCATAGTCTTTGAAAATAAAAAATATGGAGATTGAAAAAAAGGATATAGTAAAAAGATGTTGGATAAGATATTCTCCTGAAGCACAAAATACTAATCATCATGCAAGAAAAAAAATGTCCACTAAAAATGTGCTAGATATTCTGTTTGAGACTTTGACAAACAGATAAAGAAAACCCCAGAAGACATTAGCTTTGACCCATATGAGCCGAAGATACAAGCCTGCCGACCAGGAACCACTTAAACAGACTTCTTGAAAAACTTCATACACAAAATATAAACAAAAGGTGCACAGTTTTCTTTTTTGTCCTATCCATTCCTTTTATAAAAAGTTGATCATAGAAAAAGTCTTCTAAAGTAGTCTAACAATCTCAAAACGACCTCCAAATAGCACAAGCTAGTTCAAAAGATGCTTGGCCACTTCACAATGGTACAAAACATAAATTGGCTAGTTGTCCAAACTATCTTTTTATTTTAAATCCTATCAAGTGTTTATTGCTGAACGAGGACTATATAATCTTGAAAGGTACCTTCATTTCTGGTGAAGAAGAGAGAGAAAGCAGATTTTTTTTTCCACTTTTTCATCTGCTATTTCTTGTTTTATGTGTCTAAATTTTGTTCTTTTGATGGACAGAGAATTAAGGATACGGGAGCTAGTGCAAGTACTGCTTCAATTGGTCACCAAGGAATTGTCTCTGGAAAAGCTCAGCTCACCGAGTGAAAAGAATACTTCCAGATAAGCCCATTTTATAAGTTTACATCGAAAATTAAGCTTATGAATACCAAGCTTTTCTCCTTTTACCCTCGTGTAGGATTGTATATTTTTTCTTTCTTGTAGACTAGACTAGAACCACCTATAGGAAGTTTTCCCAGTCTTCTCTTCTATTGCCTGTCATAAATTATGGTCAACCATATTCTTTCGGCTCCATCAGCTACGTGCCCATGATTGACCTACCTCAAGTTGCAACAGATAAAAGTTTTCCATAGTCCATAGATTCTTACTTGGGGTCAAACTAGGAGAGTCATACATAAATCTGGGAAAAACAATGGAGCAGCTGAGAGAATTATGTGTGGTCTATACAATCAGATATTCTAAAGGTAGGAACAGCAAAGAGGAAGAAACTGTTAAAATGGTCCTAGTGAGAGGATCTATGCGCCCCTTGCCTTGCAAGTTTTGTTGTACAAAATCATAGTAAATATGAGTCTGACGTTATGCCCAATTTTTTTAACTCGGGCCCAGGCCATAACTTTTTGTTTCTTAAAAGCTAATCTTTCTTGCATCTTTAAATGTACAATGATATATATAATATCTAACTTATTGTGACTGAGAAACAAACCGGTACTATATATATTACAGGATTCCTGGATGGATCATGTGTCCTTGAGAAGAAATAGTCTGAATTCTATAGTCGAAAATTATTGTAGGATGCCTCTTGATGCTAGTCTCTTTATACGAGTATATCAACTTTCTTAATAAAGACGGATTTAGTCTATAAAAAAAAATAGTAATACACCATTAGAGAGAAATTGAGAAACGGGAAAGTACCTCCCAAAAATTTGGGTATCACTTATACAAGAAATGTATTTTAAAAGTATAATTATGGTCCATTTAAACAATTTGAACAATAATTGGGTGGGTGAAAATACTTTGGGTGAATGTTATATCTTCTGTTTAGTGTTTAGTCTTTAAATATATCGAAATTCAAAATCAGTTCTTGAAAATAAGATTTGTTATTCATATTAGTTATTAAAGAAATAAGTTAAATCAATTGTTCCATCGACATGGCATTATGTGACATGTTATCGTTCATTATATCTTTTACATGATTGCCATTTACAGAATAACCCAATTGAAATACAATTAAAGTTAATATTTAATGTTTAAAAAAACTTTGCTTTTTTCCTTTTCTTTTTCTTCAAACAAACTATTTTTTTTTTCTTCATATGTTCTATTTATCTTCTACCATTTTTATATCTTTTTTCTTCAATTTTTGTGTTTCTTTTCTTCTTTCTTCTTTCTTCTTTCTTGTTAATCTTCTTTTCAAATTTCAGTAAAATATACCTTGACAAACTCCTAAATTTATCATATTTATCTTCTTCGCTCTCTTTTTTTTTGTCACCTCTTTGAATTACAACACTTTCAATGCTAAATATTATATTCCAACATTTTATTACTTTATGTTACAGGTTTGCATTGAAGTAGCTAATCAACCTAATATCGTTTGAAATTTGATGCAACTAGATAGGGGAAATGATTAGAAATTCATCAGGATTAAATTGAATATTAGTTTGTTTTCTTATGGACTGATACCTATAACCTGTAGCTATTGAAGATGAAGAAACTTTACAACAATACCAGTTTTGAATTTCATCTCCCCAACCGACTTGCATCACTTTAAAGTTTTCTTTTTTCATGTAACATATATGCAAAATATTTACATGGCATTATTCACGCTCATAACCATCAACTATTACACAACACTTGGAAGTAGAAGGAAATGGAGAAGGAAAAAAAGGAAAGTAGAAGAAAGAAGGTAATGGAAGATCAATAAAAAATAAAATGTTCAAAAGGAAAAATAAAGAATGAAAGGGGAAGAAGAATAGAAGAAAGAGAAGAAAATTGGTGTATTTTACTTAAATTTTAAGAAGAAAGAGGAAGAAGAAAATGGATGTATTTACTGAAATTTAAAGAGAAAGAAAATGAAAGGGAAACAATATACGTACTTTACTAAAAGTTGAAGAAGAAGAAGATTATGAACAAAAGGAAGAAAGAAGAAGAAGAGATGCTGAAATGGAAGAAGAAAACGAAAGAAGAAATTGAAGAAAAAGGGAAAAAGGAAAGGAAGAAAATTAAAAAAATAATAATGAGATATAGCGTGTCATGTCAACAAAATTAACAATATTAATTAACATCATATTGCATAATGTAAGTAACAATTTTATTTTCATGATTTTGAACTTATATCAATTGAAGACTAAATAAAAGATACAGTACGTTTTTAAGAACATGAAAGAAAGATATTCGGTCAAAAACTTTTTGAAGTTACTTAAAGAATAAAAGTATAAAATATTGTATATGGTAACTCTAATTAGTTGCTTCGTGTAAATGCCCCATGGTTAATGTTTTTAAAAGTATTATAGGATTTAAGAACAGTTTAGTTGTACTTAACGAGGAAAGAATATGGAAAAAGTAAATAACTGATTATAGCATTATTTTAATTTTGATTTAAAGGGGCAAACACGCAAAGATCGAGCAATGCTCCGCTCTCCCATTTCAGAGTAAGATTTTGTATGCTTGTAGGAACGTTAGACCACTAAACCAAATTTTGAAGTTAAATCTAGTGAAAATATAAGTTGGCATTAACATGCATAAATAATAATAGTAAATATTTAAAGTATGCATATTTATTTAATAATAGATAGACTGATAAACAATACATACCTATTTTTTTATGTTAAACCCCATCATATGAAATTCGTGTGTGTGATGGAAACATACTCAGTCGAGCATTTTTCATGGATTGTAACAGGAAAACTCTCACTTGAGTCTTTAAAGAAAAAAATAAATAAATTAACAAAATTCATTTGAAAATCATATAGGTCTATTTTGTATAAACACCTCAATTGTTTATCAAAACTTGTTTTTATCGATTATTCATTATTTTTTACACTAAAAGTCAAATCATATCCAGATGATAAGTTGTTGGCGTGTATTCATTTTAATTTCCTCAAAAAATTAAGTACAATTTTATCTAAATAAAAAAAACGTCATCCTTTAAAAAAAACGTAAAGCATCTTTCTTATTTATTTTGTAAATTAGAATCTGACGAAGTTACAACCATTTGGTGAACCATTCCAAGCAAATGTAGGGGGAAGTTAAACGTCAACGTATTGCTTTGAAGAAAAGTTGGCACAGTTAACATTTGGTGAGACGAGAGTTGTTGACTAACATTTTTGGATCTTCTGTCCTGCTCCTTGAAAGAAAGAAAGAAAGAAAGAAAAAAGAAGCACTTACAAAAAAGGCAAAAGCGATAATATACATATATGGTACGTAATATGCAGGAACTAGTTAATGGCTTGATTAAGCCTAGCAGCAGCAGCGACCGATGCGGATACACCCCCAGGATGAGTAGTGAGGTTCGGATCGTTTCTCATTTCTGCACCCGTCACACCTTCAGCATCTCTCCGAGTCGCTGCTCTATCTGACGGTAACTTCGAAGTCGCACCCTGCAACAAAACAAAGTGTTTTATTTCTTTTTCTTTTTCCTTTTGTTTGTTCAGTCGATACACACACAACACAGGTGGTTTAATTAGGGTAGGTACCGCGAGAACGTCTCCGAGTTTGGTCTTGTCCTCATCCTTTGTAGCTCGAGCATTGAGGGTGGCGGCTGATTGCGCCGCCGCAGCAACGCCTCCGGGGACTATGTTGGTGCGGCCGGTGGCTCTCACTTCCGCCGCTTGAATCGCCGCCGCGTCGCTCCACTCCACCGGCTTCTTTCCGGCCGTGAGAACCGTGGCCTCCAGTGCTTCACCTATGGTGATCCCACTGATGCCGCCCCCAACGCCCATGTCTTGAGCAAGAGAAGGTGTCATCGAATTCAGTGGCGCCTTTTTACTATATTGCTCCACCACCTGTAAGCAATTCATGCTACTGCTATTAGCTTGCTACAACTCCATCGTAACATAAAAAAAAAAAAAAAAATATATATATATATATATATATATATATATATATATATATATATATATATATATATATATATGTGCGCGCGCTCACAATGCCAACATAACATGCTTATACATCATCAACTTTTATTCCATATTGTGGCTGGATCAAAATGTATAAAAAAAATATTTTTACTAAAATTTCTTGTATCAGAAAAATTTCCCAAGATGGCTGTTATGAATGAGTTTGTGATGTTAGCATAATTATATTCACGTATTAACTTTCTTTTCTATCTGGTTTATCATTCCATTTTTTAAATTTTCTGTTAGGTTAAATTTATAGCATTTTTTTTCTTATTGAGTCTTTCTTCCACTTACATTAGTCTCTCAGGATTTAAATTAATACTAGTCAGAATTTCAAGACTAATGACAAAGAGAAATTTTATTTTCACACTGCATTTACCCAAAATATCCATTCCATTTTATATAAAGGGTCAAATAAGAGAGAGAGAGAGAGAGAGTAATATAATGTGTAGAAAAAAGGATAATTTAAAAGAAAGTGAAACACTCATAGGAAATCATTATTTGTCTTGAAAGATTTAATTAATACCTCAACCAATTTACGCACTTTCCTCTCCTTTTCCTCTAATGATGATTTTTGAACAACCTACGGAACAAATTAATAAAAAATAATTAAAAAGAAAACACCACTCAAAAAATCAACAAACAAACAAGAGAATCGTTAAAAGCTTCTTGGCGTGTGCATATAATATATATAAGTAGAACCTTTTCACTAACTGACTCCGTCATCACTTGCCTTCCCGGAGCATTAGTCTCCGTCACACTAACACCACCGCCAGCGGCGGCATTATTCATATCGTTGTGCCCCACTACCCCAACTCTCTCATTTTTAGCCGCCGCCGATTGCATTGCCGCGGCGGTGCCACCCTTCTGGGTCTTACCAAGCATCTGAGTCTCCACCTTTTGCATCATCGCCGCGTCCACCGGAGCCACCGGTTTGTTTCTCAGATCTCCTTGCACGTTTAACGCGTCTCCATATTTGATACTCTCTTCTTGGTGATCCTCCCTCTTGAGCTGTTCCTGACTCATCTTTTCGAATATCCGACACCAATCTTACTGAAACCTTTTTTCCATTAATTTTGTGATTTAAAGAGGTGTGGATTGATGGGATAAGAGAGATTCATATACTATGAATGTGCGTGCGTGCACGCACGGGCATGCAATGATGGGGCTGACACATGGCAAAGGTTGGAGAGAAAAATGGTTGGTTGCGAGCAACCCTTGGCATGAAACTAGGTATGACTTGTTTTTTAGTGAAACATTGGTTCTTGACGTTCGTTTGAGAAAGGTAAGGCAAGTGTCGTTTGGAGCTTTTCTGCCATGACCTAGTCCTTTCATCTTTGCGCCCTTTTCGTCCTTCATGATGTCTGAATTTGCTAAACAGTTTCGCAATTGATTGTTACTGTCTTATAGTAACAATTATATATAAAAAAAAAAAAGTGTTTCCTGAATAAAACTTGTGTTATTGTTTTCATCTACCTTTTTTTTATATTTTATTTTCTATTCATTTTTCTTCTTATTTCTTAAAATATTTTTTCTTCTTACTTCTTAAAATATTTGTTTCTTATCGTATTATTTCCCTTTCATTTTCACTTATCTCCTTTTTTGCATAAAATTTGTTTACCGAAAAGGACATTTGTGTGTTTGATTTTATCAAGAGGCGGATAAAAAATTTAAATTTTTTTAAAATTGATTAACTCGTATTAGATGTGTCGATTTTGAGGATAAAATTGCGTAAAAGTGCATTTTTAACTAAAATCGTACTTCTAAACACGATTTTAACTTTTTTAAGCATGTTTGGTAGCACAAGTTTCTCACTTCTTTTTGTTTTTGGAAAAATAGAATTTTTTATTTTTTAAAATATATTATTTATTAAATAATTATTTTCAATTGAATTATTAATTTAATAAAAAATAAAAATATTTAAACAAACATGGTTAAATTTGATTTATTATATTTATATTAAAATATTACGTGTATATATATATTATCATAGAAAAAAATTAATAATGAGACATCGTCCCACAATGTGGTCTTCTTATTTGTCGTTTTTTTGTCCAGTCTTTAGTAGATTTTTGTTGTGTTTGTGTAATACATCTACAACCTTGTGATGATTGAGGTTGAATGTTTGTTTGTCTATCATCATCATCATTCTCTTCATTTGCATATTGCACAAAGGACATATTGGACATAGTAGTCATGAAAGATGTTTGATTATATGTTGATAGTGGTATCATGTGGTATCATGGAAGAGATGGAAAATATGTTTGTTTTATATGGAAACAAATTAAATGTATGAGGAACTTGTCCTCCAAATTGAATTGGCGTAGGTAAATTTTAAAGTTGACCAACATATCCAAAATATGGATAAGATTGTTGATAACTGGACTGACCAACATGTTGATAACTCAACTTACCAACATGAACATGACTAGGTTAGTCAATATATTGGGATTGTTCCTACTTGCTCTATAGTGTAATCGTTAAAAAATAAAATCAATATTAGTTTGATATCAATGTTATATATATAAAATAAAATTATTGATATATATTTACTTCTTCATCTGAATCTTTTTCATGAGTAGAGAAAATATATCTGTATGCTAAAAATATCATATTATATATGTTGTATTTTCACGCAAGTGATTCCCGCTGAACTCATTTCCTTAAATTAATCAATTGTATTCCACATAATAATCCAAGTTTCATGGTATTGATGCTAAAATCTATCAATTCTACCTCTCATGTTTTTCCCTATGAAGTTTGTGAAGATTGACTAGGTCTTCTAGAATTAGTTGGTGAAGGTCAAATTGCCTCTTAACCCAATTTGTTGGATGAGGTTCAATACTAACAAAACATATCATTGAAACTATAACATAACTCATAAGAGAAATCTCAATATTTATTAGTCGTTGTAACCTAGCATGACGATAAGGAGTCCACAAAAACTTTATTATTTTATAGAACTTATGAAATTAGTATTATTACCATTTAAGAAATACATATTGAAAGTTGTAATAAATGAAATACCTCATTTGTTTTTAATTGATCAAATGTTAGACATAATGCATGTATGTGTGCCCTGACATGTTGTACTACAACGTTATCGTCTACATGATCTGAAAGGTGTTGGAACGAAATGTTTAACCAAGACAATTTTATTGGGTTCCATGTAGCAACACTTTGCGGTAGGGGTGAATCTAATAATGGTTTGCAAAAGACGGTCAAATCTTTATTGCTGAAACCTGTAACTGGCAGTCTATCAATGGACATACCTAATTGTAAGGTCATATCTTCTAATGTAATTGTGACTTCTCCAATTAAAAAATGAAAGGTATGAATTTTAGTTCTCCACCTTTTAACTAACATTGTGATCAAATGATGATTTATGACAATAGTTCCAATTATCATTATAATTGTTCAAATCCTGGTGGATTAAATTTTTAACCCAATCGTTCAACATATGTGCATGTTTTGTTATCTATATGTTATGTCATGTAAGTCACAATAATTTTCATTTCCTTTCCACAATGTCTTTGTGACATATTTGTTCTGGAGACGCAATAAAGACATATATGTAGAAAGATGACGACTCAAGCAAACTATTTCTTTAAATTACACATGTTAATAATAATAATAATATGAAAGAAATATAAACAATATAAAAACAAATATTAATAATAATAACAATAATAATAATAATAATAGTATTGATAATTATTATTATAATATTATGAAAGAAATGAAAAACAATAAAAACAAATAATAATAATATTAAAAATATTAATAAAATAAAAATCAATGTAATAATAATATTAGTATTAGTAATAATAATAATAACAACAAATATTAATAACAATATTAATATCAGCTAAACTAAATAATAATACGAAGAATAATATGAAAAACAATGACAGAATAATGAAAATCAAGAAAAATAATGCAAGAATAATGAATAATAAAATGAAAAATAGCATCAAAACAAAAAAAATCAGGAAAAATTGGAAAAACAGTATAATGAAACATATAAATGTTACTGTATGAATGAAAAATGGGGTTGGAACCACATGAAAACAAGAAATTTTTTATATCGCGAAAACAGGATTGAAACATATCAGTTGTTACAGTATTGGAGCAACATACTTCACACCAAACATTTTTTATAATGTTGTTGTAGCAAAGAAATAAAGATAACAAATACAATACTGAAAATATGAATAAAATGATAATAGTGATACAACAAGTAAAGAATACTAAAAATGAAGAAGATGAGAGTGATTATGAGCATTCAAAGAATATGTATTTATATGTAGAGCAAGCTACCTTCTCATGCAAAAAATCAACCGCCCAAGGAATGCCTAATTGAGTGCTCAATCACGCTTATGCAATATTCCTAATGTTGTTCTTCACACTGAACTCCATGAGGAAGGATGCAGATACACTAAAATCGTGCAATATGGACCGATTTTGACTCTGAACATGTGTAAGGTGACATGATTTTGCAACTGAACTCTTGGAAGGGTCAGTTATGAACTGAACTCGTACTAGCTTGACCGATTTCTACATGAAATCATGACACCAAGTACGATTTTGCTTTGAAAATCGTTATAACATGCACAATTTGTCCTTTTGCTTATACTCAATTTTGTTTGCACGGTTTTGGAGCAATCCGTATTTTGACACGTGTTTATTGCATGTTATAGGTAGGGAATTGTTAATAATTGCCTACAAATTTTAGCTAAGGTATTGATGAATAGTTTTAGATGTGAATAGTAGTAGTAATCAAAGGCCTATATAAGTGGCTTCATGTTTCCATTAAATCACACAATTACAATTTACCATTTCTACTATACTCATTGAAGCTTAACTTGTAAAGGTAGATTTAAGTATATTTTATTTAAATTTTTTAATCGGATACTTTTTTATTAAATTTTATAAATTATTTACATTTTTATTTAAGTATATTTTATTTAAATTTTTTAATCATTTATTTTTTTTATTAAATCTTATAAATTATTTAAGTATATTTCTAATCACTTTTTTTTTAATTAGATGGACAAATTTCAAGTTGGTGCCTTGTTCATAATAGTTGATGATTTTATTATTTAAGATATTATTGAAAATTTTACTCGATAAAGAAGAAGATGATTTTTTCAACTGCTATAATGTATCTCGAATGATGATGTCTTGCTACGTGTTGGAAATCCTCAAATCAATTTACCCAAACAAGAGAAAACAACAATTTCATATTGATAAAGGATATAGGTTTTCTGTTGTTGAGTTTAAAGTTGACAATTATATTGTTCGTTCTATACATTATGACAACAAATGTCAATAAAAATGAAGCGTCACATATATGTTTGAGTATAATGTTAAACTTGAATCATCAAAACTTAGACTATTATATCATTGCTAACAATATTTTTGAATTAGTTAAAACAGATCCCTTTGTTCTTATTAAAATTTTGATTGCAAAAGTCAAAGACAAACACGATTATATAGTGACTTACAAAAAAGCATGGGTAGCGAAACAAAAGGTGCTTGTTGTGGCATTTGGAGATTGGGACGACTTATACAATGATCTTCCAAGGTGATTGCAAGCTATTGAAAATAGTAATCTTGGTATAATTGTTCAGTATGTTTGTTCTCTTTATTCAGTGCATGGTGTCCATAATCCATCATTTATATTAGAGTGTATCTTCTAGTCATTTAAGTCACATATAGAAGGTTTCAAATATTACAAGCAAATTATAGTTGACAGTACATTCCTAACAAGAAAATATCATGCTACGTTATTGATTGCAACTTCACAAGATGACAATAGAAACATATTTCCACTTGCATTTGCAATTGTGGAAGGTGAAACGAAAGAGACATTAGTATGATTCTTGCAACTTTTATGACATTACGTTACGCCTCAAAATAATTTATGCATTATATCAAATAGAGGCAAAGGAATATTGTTAGTTTTACAATCAGAAAATCTTAATTAGAATCATCTCATCTTAGTGTATTGTATTCATCATATT